ATCATCTAATCCTAAGGTATAAGTACATTTTGATGTTCACCTGTTCTAAAGTATGAGTTCACTACTAGTCCTAAGTTATAACTAGAATTAACTAGAATTAGGCGGCCACTTGTCCTAAGGTATTAATAAATCTAAGCGTCCTCTGTTCCTAAGAAATAAATAGATTTATGTCTTCAGCCCTGTGATGTACCATGACAAGGTGTCCACTAATCTACTGATTTAACTTGATCTAAATTCCCCTTAATCCCATGATTTCCAGAGATCTAAAGATGTAAAAGAAATGAAATAATTAAGAAATAAACAACGTTATTCAATGAACATGGCGTTATGAATGGCAACTGCTCTGCAGGCATATTCCATGATGCGCGTTAGCGCATCATGGAAAATATGCCAGCAGAGCTATTGCTATTCATAACGCCATGTTCACTGAATATTCGTTGTTTATTACTTAAATTTGCATCCTGTGATGTTGTCAAGAATATCAGTGGAAATCCTGGCGTACAGAAGGGTACGGCTGCTTGTCTCCAGTAAAGAAAAAAAAAACATGACAGTAAAATGAGTAGACCTGATTAATCAACCTTTTTTACAATATAAATCACAAATAATATGTATGGTACTTGCTTCTCAACCACAGTTATCTGGATACAAACCACGTCATCATCAAATTCTCGTAAGTTTTTGTTTTGATGCAGTTGTGACGTCATCGTTCAAAGTATTCAACCCTCTGAGAAAAATTAACAGTATGTTGAAAAAAGGGGAATGCATTTACATTGTATATTGATTTTAACTTAAGAATGTTTTTACTATGATTTTTAAGTTCTTAAAATTCATTTTATGAGCTGAAATCGTTCTTTAAATAGATGTACTATTACAGAAATTTCGTTTCCTATAAACGTGAAACACCCTAGGGTGTAGATTTATCGTTCTTTGTAAGAATATGCGTAAATATAAACAGAAAATTAAAGATATAGCATTTTTTTTCAATTTGTAAAAAGTTTTATTATACAATTAAATACATTGACCAAATTTAAAAAAAAATGCAAATCAGCAACATTTATCTTTTTGAATTCCTTTTTTTCCAGAATATTATTAAAAACTAAAAAGTCTAAGATTTATTCCTTTTGCACAATATTTGATATATATACTTCTGAACGCGTTATACTATCGGATTAGCTTGTACTGTGCGAATGCATTCATATCAGAACAAGTTGCGTCTCTAGTCCTATGAACGCAACCGATGAGTGGAGATTCATAGTGGGAGAAAACAGAGAGTATGCAAATATTATGAATATAATATATAAATAGTGCACGTTTTTGAGGGTAACAGTTGAAATTGACACCCCAAGGAAAACCATTGTCAACCGACGCGTCAGCGGAGGTTGACAATGGTTTTCCGAGGGGTGTCAATTTCAACTGTTACCCTCAAAAACGTGCACTATTTATTTTATTATACTGAATGTCTTATTGAATTCGGATGTTATTAAAAAATTCGGAGATCGTCGTTAACTTCACGCTTAGAAAGCTTTCAAACTCCCCACTTCTATTTTTCTCAATAGGAAAGCTTCGTAAAAGATTTACCAACCTCTTTATTATTTGTTTGCTACTCAAAAAGTCCTTTATCACCTAAAGTTTGCACTCGCAAGGATGTTTCGTCTGTCGTTTGTCTTTTTCAAGTAAGCCACATCGGACGCAAGCTTTTATTGACGTCGTTTATTCGGCTTCTTTCAAACGCACAACCGACGTTTTGAGAATTCTACGGTGAACCGTACGCGCATGATTTGAACGCATGTGATATTTTCGTAATGTTACCCGTTGTCAAGTGTGTTGCTAACGCTGAGGGTAATATTACGGATTGTTAAACGTGTCTAAACCAATCAGATTTTAGTATTTAACATGAAAGTATAATAAATGTAATTAGCTCTTAATGCTCATCGTCAGTAGTCTCGTGATGTACCATGATCAAGGTGTCCAGGAATCCACTGATGTAACTTGATCAAAGTGTCCCCCAATCCCACGACTTAATGAGATCTTTAGATGTCGATAACTCTTTTAACTACGCTGTTTTTCCGCTTGATTAAATATAACATTTACAATGTAATGTATTAGAAATAGTATTAAATGAATATAAATTAATTAGCTCTTAATGATCATTAACAAATAAATAATCCTTTCCTCATATGTCAGTGACAAGATAAAACCAAAGAAAAGACAAAGTTATACAAAATATTTATCATTTTATTATAAAAAGCACAACATTTAAGAACTTTACACTGTAATTTGTGATTAAGTAACAAATACTATTTCTAAACTCCTAGTACGTAACATGGGTTAGTAATCAAACATAAGAATGCTTTACAAGGCTTGGTCCAAAAGTAATTCCACAGATACTATAAAATCTTTAATCATCGAAAGTTTTCATCAGAACTTTAAACATTAACGTCTCTATCTATTTTGACTTTTGCCCTAAATATGAAATAATTTATGAAATATTGAAATAAACAGAACGTTGGGTCTCATAAGAATGTGCCGACGTCGATCTGACTTTTCTAATGAACACTTATTTTGAATCTGATGATAAATAAGACTTACGCAAAATAAATAAATTTAGAAATAGTGTGTAGACAAAGTTTAAGTGATTTTAATACTACAACTCAAAACAAGACGGTTTTTAGCAAAAGAAGCAATATAGATCATTAAAAACAAGCAGGTGAGAGGTTTTAAAGATATGCGAATGGACTGAAAATGAGTGCCAAATAGTAACGTCATAACGACTTCAGTAACATTCTTTAAAGGAAAGAACTAACCGTGATTGGACAAGTGAAAAACGCCCTGTTATATTTTAGGCTGAAAATCATAGCAAGCTCAGTATATTTACTAATACCAGAACAGTCATTGATTATGTCACAGGAAGCTCAGAATATTTAATAATACCAGAATAGTTATTGATAACGTCACTTCGTGCACAGTATATTTAGTAATATCACTTATTGATCACATCATAGCAAGCTTAGTATATTTAGTAAACCAGAACAAATACACTACCAAGTCAGAAACGTACAAACGTACTGACATTCTCATTTTTTATTGACACATTTAGACAATTACTGACAATGTGCTGTCTTTACTGCAAAACTTAGACAATTACTGACATTTTTATTGCCCTTGCAGATCTTTTATTATTCATATATTTAAAATAACTCATAACTAATTCGATATATATACAATTAATTATGATATAATTATGACAATTACTATTATAAAATTAGTTAATTATATTTCAAGCATCATTCTGAACTTAATATCAACTCATTTGCATAGTTAATAATTTTCTAACATCCTAACGTTTTTAGTTTTCTCAGACTTAAATTGATTACGAGCTAGTGAAAGAATTGGAATCGTATATACATGTATAAATATTCATGACAAAGCAAATATAAAATGTAACAAAATAACTTACATTTTCTTAAAATATTTTTAATCTGCAATTATTATAATTTTTTAACAGCTAATTCCAATAAATATTGAATAGCTTTAGTGTGTAAGACCAACTAAATCAGTATCATCAAAAATGTTTAAATTGACATCCAGGTTTTCTTTTTTACATTATTCTTTGATTGTTTTCCTTTTCTCATGCATATATACATGTATATACCATTGAACTGATGACTTTTTAAAATATGATGCAGATATTAATTTGAGATCCATGAAATCAAACCTCTGAGGTGATGATTTAATTGTATAATAACATCAGGATTTTCGTTGTAGAAGATAATAGATTTTAACATGGAGCCAAATACCAAGTTAATGTAGTCGGCACCTAATTGATAGCCCAGTTCATTTGAACCAGCAATTTCCACACATCACACATGATGCACATCAGTCAAAATCTCAACGATATATTGTAATGGCATACAAGGGCAATAAGTATCACGATAGAATTTGTGAACATCATTTACAAAACATGGAATTTCATTTATAATGTACATGTACATCATATAGGAATATAAACATTACTTTTTCTCAATCAAACGCGAAAATCATAACAAACATATCCAGATTGATTTCTGTCTGTGATAAGGAAGAGATATGAACTTTTATTCCTCAAAAACACAGATTAGTTAACGTTGCTGTGCGTGAAGTAAATCACAAAGATATGTATCTCTGTTTATTTGCTAAAACAAATAAGGAGAATCACAGACAACAGGAGATTCTTTTTGTCACATATCTAAGCAATTTTTTAAAATAATTTTTCTTTCTTTTGCCTTTTTTCTCGGTGAGATAAGTAGTGAAAACTGTGCTATATCGCATCGGGGAGCCTGGTGGTACATGTACGACATGTGTCTCCCCGTAAACCTAAACGGAGAGTCCGCTCAGTCTGCTGTCAATTTGTCCAAAATACTCGGTATGGAAAGCCGGGAAAGATACATTTGAAGCTCTACAAAAAACTGTGATAATGATCAGAGAAAAACTAGAGTCAATGTCTTAGTATTCGTAATGTTGTTTAAATGTCTTTAAGGGAAAACCCTAGTTTTACGCATCTGGTTTTAATTCTACATACCGACTACAAACTTCCGGTTATAACCTCACTGTATCAACTTGCCACAGGTTCGGACATAGAAACACACAATTCTCTAAATAAAAATCCTATCCAATCAAAGAAGATTCTCAATATATATTAGGTTGCCATTCCTCAGTTATCTACTGGTGACCTTTCTGAACTTGGACATTTATGTCACTTCTATAACTAATGTAGATTAATTTCATGATGCTTATGGGGAAATAATTGTTTCAAAAATGACATACCCTGACTCCTCTATGATAAATTTATGATGAAGCCAGCGTTTTAGCAGGTGTGTGTCCATTTATGTGTCATTAATTACATGATTTACCCAATTTGTCCCCATTAGCTGTATATTAGATAGAAGGTATATAAATACCATTAAATAACTCTTTTTTGCAATTCCCGATAATAAATCATCGCTGTAGAAAAAACACACAAGAAGACCATGCAACAGGTAAAAAAAAAATCATTAGAACGAAACTTGAAAGATCTACAGAATACATTTTACTACAAATTTTGATGATTTTTTTGTCAGTCTAGCAGTTTTGGATACCGTTTTAATTTCTTAAAAAATTAAATATGATAAGAAAATGATGAATTCCATTTGATAATGGAATTGAATGATATGTTAACGTATGTTTGTCTTTTTTTTTAATTTACATTTACAGACAGATTATTTGTTTGGATTTCTTATTCTTGCCAACGCGATCCTCGTTGTATTTTCCTGTAGTTGTGTGATGCAAAATCCCTACAACGGATACTGCGAATCCGAAAATGGTAGGTATTCATCTTTCTGAATTTTGTAATTGCACAAATAAATTACATAGTGTTTAACCTTTTTTTCAGTTCTCGTTGTGAGAGCACTTAAGTTAATTGAGCATGAACGGGTGAATTCATACGAGGCAGAGATTGTGAAAGTATTCAAGTCGGTAAGACACCAAACATAGAAGACTCTAAGTTGAATGCAAAGAGAGTTAAAATCATATCTAAAATCTATATTGAACCAGTCATGTATTCTATTTCATGCATATTTGGGAGATATTACAACAGAAAATTACTTTTCCTTTAAATCTCTTAAAATTTTATTGCCTTGTAGAAATCTAGGCCCTTATATTTTTGGAATTTAAGTTTTTAAACTCATTTGATTATTTTCCCTTTTCTGGATTCAGAAAGAACCATTGACAAGAAACACTACAACTCTTAATACAGCAAAATATGGAAGCCTGTGTGGAACATCACTGCCATTAAATCAACCAATGATGATATCACGTGAGGCAACTTTTTTAACAAAAAATTGCACTATACTTTAGGGCCAGTTAAAAGTTTATTTGGAAAGAATGTCTTTTTAAAAATATTTAAATGTCGATTGATCATTCTGCAAATGGAAAGATTTAAGAAATTTACTTACACATTATATCCAAATCAAATATTATATTTTGTAAATATGATATTGAAATAGACATTGTTATTCGTCATTGTATATTGCCGAGACTAAAGAGTTTTAAAGAGATTTTAAATTACCAAACAAAAAAATCACAACTGCTTCTTCATATCTTGTGATTGGTCATTAACAAAAAACTTAAAATTTACTTTGATCCTGCACACAAGAACTCTGAAGATAATAATAAAAGTATGATGAACTTCCTTATTGATAATATTTATGTAGTCTTTGGAGACCAGACCTTGCAACAAATTATAGGGATTCTGATTGGAAATAACAATGCTCCTTAATTAGCCCAACTTTTTTTTCATATTCCTGTGAAGAGGAATTTATTCAAAAACTTCTACATGGGAAGAAAAAAACACCTGTACTTGCTATGGCCTTGACCTACTCGGCATTCAGATATATTGCTGGTGTTTTATCAATTAAATATTGTTTTTTTTTTAATTAATATGTCAACTCGATATACTAGTACCCCAAAATAAAAGACACCACAGAGTCTGCCACTCCTGTTTCATATTGGGGTATTTTACTTACTATGGGATGATGAGGGCTAATTAACAATTAAATTGTATGACAAACGAGAGGTATTCAGTTTTTTCATCGCCAGCCTTCCTTCCCTATGTAGTAATATTACGTTATCACCTGCATATAAGGTTTAGGTATACCAACTTATTCAATACTCAAGAGAATGCTTTTAGTACGATCAAATCTTTAAGCCAATGCAGGCTACTGACAGATTAGTTGTTGTTACATCGATTTCAAGAAGTTAACATTTTGTAGAATTTAACGATCGATAGCATGGCCCTGTTAGTAAATATAAGCTATCATATGATCATTTTTACCGGCGTTTTTCGTACCAATAAGATTGTAAGGTCTTTGTTTTAGCACTAAATTTGACTTCGGAATATTCTGTCTACCTGATCAATACATGGGACATCAGGTTTGCTGTAACAGGTCGACAGGGATGCGCACTCCTTTTAGTCACCTGATCCCACCTCTGAAATTTCTGGATGTCCGCGTTTCATGCATTGCTGAAAGATTTGTATTGTGTGATGATATTTTAGATTGATCACTCTTCCATATCTTCATGCAATATGGAGATAACGAACAGTATTCAAGTCCAAGGTTCATTTAAACAATAAAAATCGGGAGCAGAGCAAACACGGACTACCAAAAACATCAAAGGTGGGATCAGGTGCCATGAGGGAGTGAGCATCCCCTGCCTACCTGTCACTTCCGCCGTGTGCTCCTTGTCATGATAGGGGGAAAAAAAGAAAAATCCGTAGAGCATTCTTTGTGTAAATAATGGCCTTACTATTAGTATGAAAAACGTGAAGACTTAATGATATGTTGTACGATATGTCGTATTTGCTGACAAGGTCATTGTATCGACCAAAAAAATGCAAAATGATTAATTTAAACGAGACTGTTAATATCCCTGTTTCATCAACTTGTATGTCAATGGCTTGCCTCGTTTTAGAAATTGTTCATACGTAGAACATGCTCTTGCGTATCGAATCAACTGAGAGATATAAACACCATATGCAGGTGATAAGGGTATATTGCTACATAAGTAAGGGAAGTTGACGATTGAAAAGTCATTATGTTTATCATAAAGCTCTGTTGTTAAGTTACCATTTACGTCTTTTTGTCGTAAAATATCCAAATATGAAACAGATGTGTCAGACTCTGTGGTATCTTTTAATCCAAACCCACCTGAATATATCGATATATATATCAACATATGAATGGAGTAACTCTTAAGGGGTGACAGGACACATGTCACAATTGACTACGTCATAGTCACCGTTAATGTTGGTGTTAAACATTGTTATAATCACCTGTATTTGTATAATTTTTGTTCAACTTGTTGAGCTTAAACATTTTATATAAAATATTTAAGAATTTTAAACGATCATGTAAAAATCTAAAAATTGTGAAATTGATTGATCCACCCCTCTGTTTCTTTACGCTGCAGTATAACATGTCCGTAACGTCATATATGATCTTTCAGTACAGTGAGATCAAGTACACGTTGATTACCTGGTCAGTTTTAAAACATTTAAACAGATTACAGTCAATGCATCGTGATAATTTTTTTGAAGCGGGAATTACAATAATAATTTTTACGTGTTTGGTAGCAGAGATTATCTGAATTGATATTCCATTCCGCTTGTGTAAGTTTTCATGTGACGTCACAGTTGTTTTCCCGTACTCGGAAAAAGTAAAGATGAAGCGTTTTTACCATGCTTATGTCTTGTAAAACTATGTCCTGTGTGATAATGAGGTAAGCTTCACCTTACGTTATTGCTACAATTAATTACTACGAAGAAGAACCTCAGTTCAATCGTAAATTTTAAAATATTTATTGACAGAATTTTTTCCCAAGTGCGTTTTTTGTCGTTGAAGCCTTCTTGAAAAGTGCGTAATTTATCCAGTCCATATACATTGTGAAACATGAAAAAATGCCGTAAGAATTCTAAACACTATTTATATTCTGAATATTTGAAGAGCTGCATGTCCTTATACACATTTTTTGTTTGTGTTTAAAAATTCCCATTATAGACTCAATAATGGACCCGTAAACACGAAAAACTTAATACAGACACTGTACGGAGCGATATTTGTATGGCGATATCTCTTAAACAAGTCAAGAAAAGTGATGACAGAATGGCTTTAAGATATGTAGGACATACTAAATTAAAAATATGCAAAAAAAATGAGAAAAAAAATTCATTGACTAAATTTTTTCAGCTCAAGATCCTGTTCCTCCTTAATTGATAAAACGTCGTCGATATATCTATTTGTCGAGTTGGAGGTAGCAACAAATGTTTTCTTCTTCTCATGTAGCAGTTTTTGAATAAATTTTGTTTCATATGAATACAAAATTAGGTCTGCTAATAATGGGAAACAATTGCTACCCATTGGAATTTCAACAGATTTTTTTTATCTTACACATTCATCCAGGATTGTTAAATACGAGTGTTGTCCAACAATTCCATAGACAGAGCTCAAATCTTTAACAAAATTAAACGTATCTCTCTAAAATTTTCTGGGTGGATGAAGTGTGTTATTGGTTGGTAAATTGCTTAGTTTTAACATGATTGCTTTAAAGCAATTCGAGTAATTACAATTTCAGTATTACCGTCCCTTAACACCCGGAGCAATCTCCGACGTCAAAAAAGATGCACTTAACGTCACCAATTTTGATTGAAGTGGTTTCACTAATAAAAGGAATCATTTTTTTTTAAATTTATCATAAACATTATAGAAACAAATATCTGAATTGCTATGATACGATTTGACATTAGAATATACAAACAAAGTATGCATATCCAATATTAACGATTTTAAAAACCTCCTGTCTCTAAGGGTGTTGATTTCTGTGTCTTCTCAAATGGAGATGCAAAACGTCACATTGACCACGATTCCGTGCCCTTTTCTTTGGGCGGTCCCTTTTTTAGTTTCGTTTTTTTTCACAAACTTGGACAATTTTAAAACACTAAGGACCGAAAGACATTTCCATGCGTACCAAACAATTAAGATTACTGCGTTTCTGTGGGAGTGAATTAAAGTTCAGAACATTTCATCACAGTCCAGTGCGCCGCCTGTGTCGACACAGGCGCAATTTTTCAACTGGTCAGATTTCAAATTGGTGCATTTAAAACGTTATAATATTCATATTAATCAAAGAATATACAATAAAATTGGAGGAAAGGTAGTTTACATTACAATTTGAATAATATTAATTTCTATTTTCGAAATTCTGAGTATTAAATATCTTTTCTTGAAATTTTAAATATCACATACCGATTTTTAATTGCAATTTTTGGGTATTGCGCCACCTTCTTACACAAGACACTAGAAATTGTATTTAAATAGGATTCAAATGTGTAATTTCTCAATTTTTGACCATAAATGTATTAGATATTATTAGTTTTATATATGTACATACTTTCATTGATTTATGACACCGGGTTCCAACAAAACTACGCTTGTCTACGGAATTTTGGGACAACCCTCGTACATCACTTGGTTTTGTACATGTAGCATGGACTTTTCAAAGCGATGCCACCTTTAGAAATTTCTCATACAATTAGATGAAGTATATTTATGGAATCATCTTCCATTTTCTTCAATGTATTACCTCTTTAGCGAGTGGAGGTGATTATGGTGGGTTTGAGTTCAGGATAGGCTTGTGTGACTCAATAAGAATGAAGTACAGTGAAAAGCTTGAAAACTTCGGAGAAGATTTAGATTGCAGTTGTCGGGTATGTAGCCCCCTCTCTCACCTCTCTCTGTCTTTCTCTCCTTATGAAATGTCACAATAAAGTTTCATAACATACATTTAAAAAGATATTAAATGATTTCTAAGAAATAATTAGATGTTATAACATATTCTCAATATCCTAGATAATTGGAAAACTATGCAAAAAGGAGAGGATTACGCGGTCCCCCCAAAATTGATTAATGCATGTTTTATTGTTTAATTTTATTATCATGTGGGACTAAGATGATCAATGTATGGTATATATAGTACATGTATAAAACATGAAATACAAACCTTTGCTTTCATTTAAGCCATTAAGTATTCGTTCTTTTAAAGGTGTCAACTGGTGGCTTTGGGGATTCTTTTTACCCTAAGGAAATGTTGTGTCCATGGATTGGATTTTTTAATAAGCTGAGTTGTCCAAATGGTGATAGGATGAGATGCTCAGCAGACGACAACGGAGAGTGCCAATGGCGGTGTAAATCAGAAAATTTCTCCTAGACCAATATACATAGAGCAATTCATGAAAATAAATAAGAAATGTATAAAAGGAAATAAATAGTTAAAACAAAGTGTTGAAAAATAAAATAAGGCCCATGATTTGTTGTACATGTAGATACATTGACAATTTTATGAGGAGAGAATATCTTCAAAACTCTTTCATAATCTTCTTAATTTTTGTGTCGGTAAAAGGCCATGAAAAACGAACATCAGTTCTTCGATTTGTCTTTTTTTTTTTTTTAAAAAAAAAAAAAAAAGATTGATTGTTGTTGTTTTACGTCCTATATATTCGAGAATTTTTCACTTATATAGATACGTCACTATTTACTGGGTGAAGGGCACCAAATTCGAGGGTTGTCTAAAAAATCGTAGACAAGCAAATTAAAGTTTCTCTTTTGCCAACTTAAATTTCTTTTCTTGTCATGGTAATTAAAAAGCAACATTTAATGATGAAGAATGTCAAGACTCATGGTAATAACACATAATGCTTAAACAAATAAAGCATGTAAGTGTACGTCGGCGCACGAAAGGAAATATAATTTACGTCTCTTATAACGTCATGATCATTTTTTGAAGTACAGTCCCGTGTCCATACATGTAAGACGCGACTCTAAAGCATCTCTTTTTTTTCAGAGTAGCCTTTCTTGACTGAGTAACTACATGTAATTTAAATTCCCCTCTGTCCATAATTTTTGAACAGATTATTCAAATTTTGATCATCGAAAAGACACCATACCTTGTAGGAAGCAGACAATACACAAAGTTTGTCATCGATCGTGACCCACAACATTCTTCTTAACAAACAGTACTTTGCTTCTTACAAGCCTTACTATATTTGGAGCGGAATGAAAACTGTCCTTAAATTCATTTTTGTCAACTCTTTTCCTCTGAATGATTCTGCTCCGTTTGATTTTCAACTTATTAAACTCAAACTCATATTAGAATCGAAAATGGTCATTTATTAGCAAAATAACGATCAACGTTTTCATGTACACAACATATGTACAATATGGAAAAATAATAACAAAATATATTCTAAATAGTTATAGTTAAAATTGTGTCCCTGAAAATCAAAGGTGAGGGAGGTCATTTATTAGCAAAATGACGATTAACGTTTTCATATACACAACATATGTACAATATGGAAAAATAATAACAAAATATATGCTAAATAGTTATAGTTAAAATTGTGTCCCTGAAAATCAAAGGTGAGGGATCAACTTCTTCCGAACATTGACTAGAAATTACAACTAGAAAAACGCCTCAGAACATTGACTAGAAATTACAACTAGAAAAACACCTCAGAATATGTATCAAAACAAGTCATTAAAATCAGACATACTTAAAATTTGGCAAAGAAAATTGGCACAACTAATCAAAATATACCACATTAAAAGCCATTAAAAGCAGATATACTTGAGCAAATGGCATGCAAAATGGCTAAACTAATAAAAACATTCCACAATAAAAGTCATAGAAATCAAAATAGTTAAAAATGACAAACAAAAATGACTAGACTACTCAAAGTATTAAAACATGAGCATGAATCTCCCAATAAACAATGTTGATTAGGGAGGGAGGTGGGATTTAAAGATCAAACATCTTTCTCAATTTCATTTAGGATGCACTGTTTTGATTAAAGCTGCCACCTAGAGGTGAAATGCGTAGTAAAACAAATGATGCCACCTAGCGGTGTTTCAAGGGCAATAACAATAATTCAGGATTGCCAAAAATGCATTTATTTACATAAATGTAAATTTTTGTCAACTCTTTTCCTCTGAATGATTCTGCTCCGTTTGATTTTCAACTTATTAAACTCAAACACATATTAGAATCGAAAATGGTCATTTATTAGCAAAATGACGATCAACGTTTTCATATACACAACATATGTACAATATGGAAAAATAATAACAAAATATATTCTAAATAGTTATAATTAAAATTGTGTCCCTGAAAATCAAAGGTGAAGGATCAACTTCTGCCAAAGTATTACTTAACAAGTAATACCCCCCACCCAGTTACATAATTTCACAAGTAAATTAAAGTAATTTCCATTATAATGCAACTGTTAAGAACTCTGTTGTTATAAAGGAAATCCCATAACTGTATTCGATGTACTTTTCACATTGATCAACACATAACGTTACAACCCACGCTATCCGTTAAATTACACAATTCGTCTCATCTTATTGTTTTGCATCATAAAACTGATTTTTTTTTTTTAGAAATACACTTACAATACAAATGACGGAATAACTTCCAGATGCACTTCCCGTGTCTTATTTAAAGATCAAACATCTTTCTCAATTTCATTTAGGATGCACTGTTTTGATTAAAGCTGCCACCTAGAGGTGAAATGCGTAGTAAAACAAATGATGCCACCTAGCGGTGTTTCAAGGGCAATAACAATAATTCAGGATTGCCAAAAATGCATTTATTTACATAAATGTAAATTTACAGACAACTTTTTCGACTAATGTTCTAGTGTATTTTGTTACTTCTCCATCTTTTTCCGTCTCGATCTGAAGTAGGTAAATCACATTCAAAACATTTTTAGGATATTCCCGTGTCCCGCAAACACGTTTTGCGATGTCATATGCAGCAAACCTAATTCCAACAGCACTTCAAAAATTACGAAACCAATCCCCTCTCTCTCTAAAGTTATATGTATGAAAATTTGGCTTATTACTTAGATTTTGTTTCTGATTTTAAAGGATGAATAACACAAACAAACTTTTTTCAGAAATCAGCAATATTTCTCATACATTAATATTCAAATAGGTAACCTGAATGATATTTTCTGGGGAAAGTGGGAGAATTTTGTAAGATTTTGTCACAATGTCAATTTTGTATAGAATTACATAGAAAACGATACAAAGTTGCTTATCTAAGCATCAAAGAAAACTTACGATTTCTTTATATTTAGGGGATTGATTATTTATGTCATTTCCATTCAAAATCAGTCAAAATTATATATCAATCCATACATCTAAAATCATTAAATTCGTAAATTATTCCGGATTATGTTCTTGCGCCGACAGACCATATGGGCCCTCCTATAAATCGTCATAATATTTTTACAAAAGATTTTTTGAAAGATTTTTATTTTACTTTCACAATTTTAAGGAGCATTGAATAAGTTATAGTTATGCAAAATTTTCTTATGATTGGTTTAAAGAGACACCGTGAAGGAAAAATGAGAAAACTGACAAAAGTAGAATTTTTGGATGACACATGCAAATTTTGTTCAATTCTTGAAGATATTAGGTTTCAAAAAATTACAGGTTTCAGAACCTAAAAAATCTATTTTTTGGAGAAAATTAATTTTTGTTTGCCCCAACACAAAAATATTGCTTCACTTTTTCTTCCTCTTTATTGTATGCATGCGCAGAAAAGTTGAAGAATTTAACATGGTATCAATTCCACAGATATAAATATCGGATGACCGAGGATTTTGATACAATCTTCAATCCTTGATATAACTCATATCACGAGTGACAAACTGTTTGCTGTATATACGGTATATTCTGTAATTATTACGTGTTTCCTCCATTCTTTACCTGCACTGTATAAATTCTATACTTTTCCAATCAAATTAAAGGTATGCATAAACATTTCATACTAAGATACATTTATCAATTGAATTAAAATGTCTTTTCATTTGGGTGCTTTTCTTGTCTAAGGTTGAATATTCAATCTACTACATGTACTTCAGTCTGTTTGGAATGATTAAAGTAAAAAAAAAGATATAACAATAAAATGTGTAATAATTGCTCTGATTTTTAAAGGAAGCAACTGGGGATAAGGATAAGGATTTGTACTACGACAAGAAACAATGTTCCCTTTCTACTTTCAGCTCTGATGAAAATGTACCGTAAATGAAGATGGGTGCATGGTGAAATAGCAACGATTCTTGGGGGAGCTGTCTATCATCAGTAAACCCACCTTCGCTAGCCAAGGGTTTCTGATAAGCTACTCTCCTCATAAACAGGGTTTATAAGGAGAGTAGCGTATCAGAAACCCTTGGCTAGCGAAGATGCAGCAAACCACGAGGGGAAAATACTGTATTTGCCCATTCTATCTTTATATCTTTTTACTATCTTTATATATATCTTAATTTTTGAAAATCATTTTTACAATAAATATTCCTCTCTTATAGACCAGCTATGGACTTCTAATTGCAGAAGATTCAGCAGTTTCCATAAAAGAAATAAGATGATTGTGTCAATATCATTGTACATTTAGAGCCGCGGGGTATGAAAATGGTTCTTACAACGTATTTGAAAAAAAAAATCAAATTGTCAAAAAATCGGCCATTACAGGATCTTCTTACTTTCGGACAAAAATACATGCCACTTAACTCTTGAGAATCCATGATAGAACATTTTAGATTGTTGATCTTCTTATACATTGTAATACAGCTGAAGGGAAACAGAAAGGGAATAAAACACATACGAAATACATGTAGATAAAACATGATAAAACGAATCTTCTACCTTATCTCACCTCTGATGATTTTAGAGATCTGTATTTGCTCTGCTCCAAATCTGTATTATTTCAATGCACTTTTGACCTTGAATACTGTTCATTATGTTCATATTTCATTCCATGATTCGTTAATGTACATGTTTTCTCTCAACTCGCCAAAGGCAGTTGCATAGCAAACACATAGTTCAATTTTCCAGTCATAAACCATTGGAGATTCTCTATATATACATGTAATGATACCATGGCACAGTTACATAGAGATGACCTTTTGAACTTGGACATTTATGCCACTTCTAACTAATGACGATTTATTTTCATGATGTTGATGGTGAAACAATTGTTACAATCAGATGACATACTCTGACGCGTCTATAATAAATTTCATCATGAGGCAGTGTTTGAACAGCTGCGTTTTCAATTATGTGTCATTATATACGTGATTTGTTTATCCCAATTTAATTCCTGTCTGTAGAATAGGAGATATATAAATTTTCTGCACTCACAAAATCTGGTGAAATATATAGTGATGCTTTGTTTGAAACTAAAGTGTGAGATATAGCGCACAAGAAAACCATGCTAAAGGTAAGAATTAATATAATCATCAACTTCAAATATCTACAGTATACCTTCATTTTTTTCATTGGCTGTTAGGATATAATTTTAGAAATGAATTTCTTAATAAAAGTATGGAACCCCATTCGGAAATGAAATTGAATGATATGTCTATAAACCCATATGATTGTCTTTCTTTTTTTGATACTTTTATAGACAGGTTATTTGTTTGGATTTTTTATCCTTGCCAACGCGGTCTTTGTTGTTTTTCCATGTAGTTGTTTACGTTCAAATTCCTACAACGGATATTGCGAGTCCAAAAATGGTAATTATTCATCTTCGTGAATTTTGACCATTGGTATCAAAGTGATATAAAAATTATTCAAGTATCTTTTACTCTTGTTGCAGTTCTTGCTGTGAATGCCATTGAATATACTGAACATGAAAGGGTGAATTCCTATAGGGCAGAAATTGTGAAAGTATTCAAGTCGGTAAGACATAAGTCATGGAAATTGTACATGTATCATGAAGCTGCTCTGCAAATCGAACTATATTTAATCAAAACGCCATCACAGGATGAAGTTCTGTCATTAAGTTAACTGAAAAGTGACATTCAGTAATATTTTTAGACCCTCCAGTAAACATTCAGCAGACTGAATGGTGAAGTTTCATCCGGTGCATCTCAATAATTCTCCTATCTATATAACTGAAAACTTTTTTACATTTCATATGACTACAACAATTATTTAGATTTCTCTGACGGTTTTTATTTGTCACTTGGAGAACTCTTTTATATATTAACAATCATCTTGGTATTTCTCCATCTCTGTCTTCAGAAAGAACCCGTGACAAGAAGCACAACAACTATAAACACATCGAAATATGAAAGTTCGTGTGGTACATCCCTGCCCTTAAATCAGCCGATGTTGATATCACGTATGACAGCATTCTCTTTTTAATAGTTGACAGTTCTGGCTGCAAAAAGAAAGAAGAATTTATCGCATACTATAAACATATGTATCTGATATTGCATTCATCATATTCGAATGTAATGTTGAAATAGAATATGTATTTATCCTCATAATTTATTGAGTTCCAGTTATCATTGCTCTATGATATTAAATTTGCTTTATTTCGGTGGCATAAAATCTATGCAAAATGGTGCTGCACTTCAGAAATTTTTACTTATGATAACAGAAATAATACAAAATTATTCAACCAATTTCTCCTATTTTTGCAAATCATATGCATTCCTGTAATTAGCCAGCGGAGGTGCGAATGGTGGATCTGAATTCTACATTGGCTTGTGTGATTCAATTAGAATGAAGTACAGTGAAGAACTTGAAAATTTCGGAGACGATTTTGATTGCAATTGTAGGGTATGTAAACTCTCTCTCTCTCTCTCTCTCTCTCTCTGTGTGTGTGTGTGTGTGTGTGATAAAATGTAATGATACTTTCTCAAAGTTAACATTATAGAAGATGTCCAATAATTCGTAAAAAAATCAGATATCAAAATCATGGATAAAAGGATAAGATCTCTTTAAAATTAGCAGGATCGTAACACGCACAGAAAGATTCCTTTTAAACTGGAGAATAAATGTATATTCGACTACTTTATTTCATTTTCTCAAGGGGCTTAAAATTTAAAATATAGGGAAAATTCAATTTCAAATATTTGTTATATTAAAGTATTGAATTTTCCTTCTTTAACATTTTACAGGTGGCAACTGGATTTACTTATGTGGATTCTCGCTACCCTAAGAAACAGTTATGTTCATTTATCGGACCTGTCACTAAGCCACCTTGTCCGGGTGGAGAGGGGATGAAATGTTCAGTAGACGACAGTGGAGAGTGTCAGTGGCGATGTTAATCAGACATAGCCTGTTCTATTATGTTGTGAAATTCCTCAAAGACCAATAATATAAATAAAAATTTACTAGGAAATCTATTTTTTTAATATACAGTGCTCCCTCGGTATATTGCCAACTTTTGTCCAAGACAGATTTTGGCATTAAAGCGAGGGTTGCAATATAACGAGTTCTGCCATAAATTACAATGCAATGAGCCCAGTTGAAGATGAATACGTAATTTATTTTAGTTAAAATCAAATGTCATGCTTTTGCGCGTGTGTACATACATATACACTGAAGCGCAACTTTCATCTCTTCCGGAAAAAAGTCATTAATGTATTTGTTTTTAAAATAAAATGAAAATGTCACAATATTACGACATTTTTCAATTTCCCGCTCTTTCGCTCTTCTGTTGATCCTGGGTCGAAGAATTTAACAACCCGATGATAACGATGATAGCGGTGTCAATAGCAGTTATAGTCTCTCGGTATACAAAAGTTTTTGAGGTTTATTGTCAATATCATCTGAATCGGAAGTAGATTATTTCACCATCTCAATAATACTAGATCAGTTAAAAACGTTCGGTAACAGACGAATGGAAAGTCACGTGCCAGGGTACATGTCTAGATCTTCGTGAACCTGTTGTAATATACACGTATTCTCATGTTTGCTAGTACCTGAGTACTTTCTCTTCTTAATCTGTTTTGATATTCATCAATCAATCCATTATGTGTCCAACAATTGATGACTGTTTCAGGGGTATCGGAATCCCATGCTATTTTCACGTGCGGAATTATAGTAGTCTAAAAATAGAGATGGGATTTCCTTAGAATTTAGAATTTGGTTTTTTGATCTATGGGGAATAAAATGATTTTTTTCATTTAGTATGGCCTGGTTCGGTGAAAGCAACAATCGGCGATTTACAGTTAAATAAAATGTACAATTATTTGTTTGGGTTTATTTTAAATTTTCGTTTGTAATCTAAATTTGTACGCTTTCTCTTCCCTGACTTTCCCATTATTGTGATGAAATAATACTTCTATCTTATAAAAATAACACAAAAGAAATTGCTAATTTTGAGTTTTATAAAACGATTATCTTTAATTTAGCTGAACTCCTTGTTCAGCCAGTCACACTTCACCGCAACCACTGTCAAAGCACGGGTGTGACGTCCAAATTACCGACGCGCGCTAGATAATTGCCATTGTTACCGAGGGTTTTCCTTATATAATTTGACCTTTTGTTTCCCCAAACTAGTGGCGGATGGCAATAAGCGGGGGTGGCAAAATAACGGGTGTATTAACACAGGGGGAAATCCGTTCTTGGAGAATTCCTGGCAATAAGCGGGGGTGGCAATATAACGGAGGGCAATATACCGAGGTAGCACTGTAAAAATGTGCCCAAGGTTTGTAGTGCATGTTAATCAAACACTGAATTGTTATTTCTTGAAAGATGTAGTCAAATAAATGCAACAGTGTGGGCAAACGAACTGAATATTTCGCGTTAGTTAGATATGAAAATTTGTTTACACTTACAGTTGCAGACATGACTACATCTCTCAAAAAGTTCATTGCTTATATCTACATTTTTTAAATCCCTGCCTTGTCTGCAAACATGATTTATATTTTAAAATCCCTGTATTATCCTTTGTATAAGTTACATTTCATGAAAGAGTCATTACAACTGCTACTAAACCGTCAGACTGTTCAATATGAGCGTGAATTTAGTTTTTTTTTTTTTTTTTTTTTTTTTTGTTTTGTTTATAACCGTTTGACCTCCCCGGCCGCTACATCATCAGTGATGTCTTTCATGCGTATACCTGTAATTTCGGGTGATGGGCGTTTCCCCAACGCTGCGCCTTTAATTTGTTTGTAACGCAAAAAATTATTTGCAGGTATACATCTGAGAAAGAAGATAAGATCAGAACTGCAAGGTCGTGGTACATGTAATTCTAGATTAGAATTGTCTGCTAAGTATGCTTTCTCGACACAGTTATTCATCAAATTCCATGTTGGTGTACATGCTGGTCACATCATAAATAATCAAGATGACATTTTTTGGTACAATCAAAGATTCGATTTTTTGTATAAGTTCAAACGTGTCTTAAGGCAGAAGAAAATGATCACAGTAGTGACCTATATTTTCTGTTGTGTGCTACATTGAGAGATAATTGGAAGACCACCTGGAATTTTTCCGGTTTGTCTATCTCGACATGATAGACAGAATTGAGTAGCCTCATACGTGCTGAGATATATTTATCTGTGTCCATTACAACAAATGTGTTGCTTTTGTCCACCTTTTTAAATTATAATCCCAAGATTATCATCCGCTGAGACAAATACTTCCCTCCCATGTTTAGTGAGATCGTCTTCAAAACATTTGATTGGCATTCATGTTAATTCGAGTTTGGTCTTATCGATATACTTTTCTAATGGATCACATGTGTGCTCTGGTATGTAACCTAAGCGTTGTCTAAAAGGATGCATTGTCATCGGATTTTTGCTGAACAAATATTTGCACCTTAATTTTCGAGCAAATTCGCCAAAATCTCTTAGAACAATGTTCTTGGCATTGTACGACTTAGGACTTGGTAAATTTTAATCATTTACTTAGACGAAAATGTTCAGCAAGTGTCAAACAATGTTTTGACAAGTTCAAAAACTTGCATTTCAGTTTTCTTTAAATTCTTCATCTGAAAGTTACTCGTAAAAAGATCATTTTTCGTCTTCATCTGAAAGTTACTCGTAAAAAGATCATTTTTCGACTGCACGTTACGAGCAGAGAAAGATCATACTCGTAAAAGGGACTTTTTAGATTTCTGTTCCCTGTTTTGCTTGTCTGGTGAATAGAACGTGTATGAATAAGACAAGTAACATCAATGCCAATTCGTATGTAGCGCATGTGCAAGCTTATACACGCCTACAATGAATCAAAAAAGAGATAATTGGTCAAGGAAATGCACAGTTTTAATCATGTTAAAAACAGCATTGAAAGCCAGTATGATTAAATAATGACATGTAAATAAATTCAATCAAGAGTCCATCAAAACAAATGTATATTTTGATATACAGATTCAGAAATCCTAAAATTTCTTAGATGAGATGATTCTCAAATTTTTAGCGTTGTTTGTTGATTTTTCAAGTAAATGTATAAGTTATGGAGCTATAATTTGCTAGACACAGCTCACAATATCATTAGGGTTTAAAATTTCTCCTCCTCATTCCACGAAATATTCCTTGTCCCCTAGACTCGTGTCTGGTCGTTTCTCGAGTAGAGGATGACTGTCTATTATGTAAATCGTCCCGGAAAGCTTTAAAGGCTTTTGTGTGTTCTGTCTGCGCTTTTTGAATCAGTCTATCCTTTTCTCTTTTAGCGTTATCACTGACTTTTGTTTTGGATCCAAGTTTTTGAAAGGTCTGCTTATAACGTATAAATTTCCTCATTTTTCTTCTCAATGCAATTCTCAAAGTAATCCGTTAAACTTTTCAGTGTTTTGTGGCGTTCAAGTTTTTGAATATCCTTCAAGAATTTAGAAAAGTCTTCGTTGTGCTTTGGATTAAGTAAGTTTATGTGAAACTGAAATTTTTAATGAGAGCCAACTTGGATAAATGTTAGGTCTTATTGCATATTTTAGACTTTCCTTTTTCTTGGCCAATTCTTGTCGATCTTGCCGTAATTTGTGGATAGTTCCAATAGACGGTTCAATTTCATCCTGTAGTTCTGGGTCAATTTCAGCACTATCTTCGTTTAGCTTTATAGTTAAACCCAGCTTGTCATCCCTTGCAAATAGACTGCTTCTTGATTGCAAGGAATGTTAACTTTCATCTTCCATTTTTGTTGTCTTAAGCTTCTTCCATTTTTGTTGTCTTGTCTTCAAATCTCCTTAATGATAATTTGTTGAATCGTTGTAGTATTTTGTTTGTAATGGATTTTCCTTATTATATTGGTTTTGTATCTCTGTCAAAGGCGCACCTTTTCGGATTTTTTTTTTAGTTCTAACGGAAAGAAGATGAGTGAACATGACGATCAAAAAGCCTATAGTGTGACAAACATGGAGGTGAAAAATTAAATCTCAATTATATCAAAATTTTCCTTGATATTTCATCTAACATTAAAATATAATTTATGTAAAATCTCTACAACTGGCAAAAAATTCACAAATATTGAAATTATTTGCTTATGAAATAGTATACACACGTTAAAGGAGTCATTTTCTCATACTATAACACTAATTGTCGATATGAGTGCGTCTTTGCTCCATTTTTTTGAAAGTTAATCTTCACAGTTTGCATAAAAATAAACATTTTTGATCAACAAAAATATGGAGCAAAGACCCACTATACCTTAAAAATGTACTTTTATGTCATAGCATTCGCATCTTTTGGAGAAATACTTGAAGTCCAATAAGTCAAGGGTCATATCACAAACATGATTTAAATGCCACTATTCATCAGGTGTAGTCTAGTGGTTAGCGCGCTAGTCTTGAAAGAAAATGATCCTCAGGATTTTTATTACTAGTGTTCGAGACCCACGAATACCACATTATTTTTTAATAAAAGAATAATTTTTTTAAATTTTTTTTTTAATTTTTTTTTTATAAAATAAAATTTTCCTCAGAAAAGTTTTGTTTATCATAATTTTATAAATTTCAATAATGAGAACTTTACTCTAAATACGAAATTCACAAATTGAACATGATTTTTATATATCTGAAGCTATAGGCTTTCTGCACGCTATGTTCGCCCATCTCCTTACACATATGTGACTACAATGGAAAGGTTTTTGATGACAGAAATTTCCTGTGTAATTTTTTGGGAAGCACGAAGTAATCATTTGTCTCAGAGGTGGGAAATGGAGAAATAAATATATGTGACCAAATGAACTTCGTGAGTAATAGCAAGTCCCAATAAATTCAGAAATGCCGAACGCCTTCAAGGAAGGCGATGCACGGGCAGATGCCGGTTGGGACACTCCCGAATCACAAGTATAAAAAAAGATGACATCCTAACAACCAGTCAATTGCTTATATATCACAACTAATTAGTTAGTTGTTAACAACTAACTAATTGATAAATCCCGGGGGAAAAAGGTTATAAACAATCAGAAATTGAACCTATTATGAATGAAACCCTTTCTGCAATTAGAATTGATCTTCTCAAAAAGGATAATAAAAAAAGCTGTACCTAACGTTTTGGTCATCATGTTCAACCCATGTATAAAGGGGTTAAGGAAACGACTTAAGAAATATTGGGATTACATACAACATGATGAAGTATGCAAAGACTTATTCACAACACCTCCTATGGTTGCATACAGTAAACACAAGAATATAGGTGATGTGATTATTAGATCCATATTAATATCAAATGAAGTTTTAAAAAAATGATTGATTTATGCATAAAATGAACCCTTCATTAAAAGTGTCGGGTTCTAATAAGTTTAGGACTTGTCTGGTTGTTAGGATGCCGTCGATTTTGTTTTGTTTCTTTGTTTGTTTTTTGTTTTGTTTTGTTTTTTGTTTTGTTGTTGTTGTTGTATTTTGGACTTGCAGCCCTCCAGTAGAAGTTCAATATGAGTGAAAAATTCTCGAAATGGACGTTAAACAAAAAATATCCAAAACAAGTACAAACAAATTAAAAAAAAACAAACAAAAAGAATTGAATGTTCTAACTTTTTATTTGCTTTTATCACCGTGTGTTGTTTTTGGCAAAACTTCATATCAGTCAAGGTAGGAAGGACAGTTTTAGTTCCGGTTCGAACATGAAATTACATGTGCGAGAAAGAACAACACGGGCTTTTTTTTTTTAAATTTCGGTAGACCTTTAGAAAGTAAAATTTACATCGGAAAATTCAGGAAGACATTTTCTGAGGTAAGACAAAAACTTATCAGAATGATATTGATGCACTTCATGTACCATGTAAGATTAAATGATTATTTGAAAAGAAAGCTTCGATATCAATTTCAAGGTCTGCATGAAGTTAAAAAAACTAAAAAATGAGAGCTGCATAAAAATTATGTTTAAGTTTTGTCTATAAACAAAAAGAAAGCGCTTTACAAATGGAATTTCAAAACTAGAAGAAATTTGATATTCCACGCTGGTTTATCTAAACCTCTTATGTATATAAAAAAAGAAAGATCCTAAGGTAAAATTAGTGCATCATCAAGAAATAACGATGTGAAGGGATGTGATTTTTCCATGCATGTATAATTTAAATAAGATATTGTTTTGAAACGAAACCGTTTAAGCCTCTTGTACTTCTTCATAAAAAAGTCGCCTCCGACTGTACGATAGGTTTTCTTTTGTATAGATTTGAAATAATATTCAGTGTTAAAATTACTTTTGTTAGGGTAAAAAATACTGTTTACTGACAACTTTTTACGTGGACGTGCATGGTAAGGTAACAAATGAAAAGCCTTCGGGAAATATTCAAATGATCATCTTTGAAAGGATCTTTAATTTACAGAAGTATAGTAAAGTGGCCAAAAATTAAAATCAAAGGTGATTTATGTTAAGATATGGAAAACATTTTTTAAACTCTGTTTTTATGTTTAATAGGAGAAAAAGTGAGTCAAACAATACCTACTGGTTACATATTAAGTCTGTCGAACTCCAAATTATTTTGGATAGAATTCTACCAAGAATACAACAGAAATACTGTAGATTAATATTAAGTATTCTAAAATTATAATTGAGATAGTGATACTATTATTTTCATTAAATAAGATGTTTTGCACTGACATCTAAAAAAATAAAGAAAAAAAAATCTACAAATTTGCTATTATTTTTTCTTCAATAAATAGTAAATTAAAAAAATTAAAAAGTTATTTGTAATAGTGAACAGGGCATTTGTACTTCAAGGATTTTTTTTTGTTTTTGAGAATTGGAGCAATGTTCTTTATAATTACATTTTCAACAATGAAAGGCTGTTATATTACTTATTTATTGACTAAAAATGATATTTTTTCACAGTGAGAAAAATATTGGAACTGCATCAAAATCTCGAATTTTCCTTATAAAGGGTGATTTAAAAACTAATGCCTAGCCTATTTATCAGACAGAAAATAAACCGTCTTGACAGAAACTAAAGTTGTCAGTCAAGAGTTTCTCCATATTGTTGTTTAAATCCATATTTACCATTTTTAGTCTCATAAGCGCTTAGTTATGACTTCTTGAGCGCTCAACTATGACATCACGGCCTACGTCGCTGCGTTATAAAAAGATAAAGACATAGAAATAAAAGAAAACGTAATCAACAGAATATTCAATGTTTTGAATATGGATATTTATTTCACTCAGAATCGAGACAGACTTTATGATATTTACACTCGTGCCTCGCACTCGAAAAAATATCAAAAAATCCTGATCCACTCGTGAAATAAATTCCACATCCAATTACAAAACATTGAATATCTATTTATTTCTCAAAAGGTCCATATACAAAATCAACATTCACTGCAATATATTTGTAAAATAGGTAAAACATGTAGATCTATAAAGTGTAAAGATACTTTCCCATATTCAGCATTTGGAATTTCTTTACAAATTTACAAAATACAACATTTACAAAAACGTAATCAGTGCACCGGCCTAATGTTTTGTGAAAAATACAAATATATTCTCATAGGTTCTTTGCAGATGAAATTTTTGGTTGGATTTCTTATTCTTGCAAAGGAAGTCCTGTTTATATTTACATGTTCCTGTATTCACTCAAATCCACACAATGGTTAATGCGATGCCAGATATGGTAGGAAAACATTTATACTTCATTTCCTAATATATATGAACATGGCTCACAAAGCTATTGCCCGATTCTTTTTTCAATCAATAAGACCATAAAATTATTAAATATGATCGTTTTCAAAATGTTCTTGTTTGTCGTCAAAGAAGAAAAAACACACATAATTATAAAGAAACAAATTAATTTTATAGTTTTGTTACAGTTTTTATTGTGAATACCAGTAAAGTTACTTCTTCTGATGACGACAGGTATAAGTACTATACAACGGAAATTGTGAAAGTACTCAAGTCGGTAAGTCGACCTACTTTGAGGTATTCAATAAAAATTATCAGAATCTACATTTAGTTCCATTTTGTTTATTGTTTACCAGACCCTTAGTTGATTCATGTTACCTCTTATTGTATTCCCAGAGTGCACCAGTAACGAGAATGTTCACAACGCTGAAAACTCCAACATCTGAGTCAATGTGTGGAACTTCTTTGCCATTCAGTCAAAAGATGCTTATATCAGGTTCGCTGCTATTTTTCCCCAAAATCAAATAAAAATGCTTTTACACTGATAAAAACATAAAATCCCATTAATAGGGAGTTGAAAGTGAAAATGTTTCATTCATATTTGCCTTGCTGTTCAACTACAAGATATGAATGCATTTCGATGTGATTTCGATAAATACACGAGTATATGATGAGGCAATTGTATTCAACTAGATTCTGATTTATGCTTTATTGATCCTGACTACGATTTAACCCCTCCTGCCAGAACTTCAAAGAGTGTTTGGATCAGTCTTCGGCAAGAAAGTTATTACCTCTGGGGGTGCACATTTTTTTTCAAAAATGTTCTTATCCGAAGATACAGTCCACAGTGTAGTGTATATTTTCTTTTGACGAGGTAAAGGTTCAGACTTCAGAATGTTATAATTTGACTTTCTGCAAGTTTCTTCTTGACATTTATAATTGTTCTTTTTAACTAGTCACAAAGTCTGCTAGGTTTCAGGAAAAAACGAACTTTTGATGGATAAAAAAATTATATAGCTGATTACGGACTGTTTAGCAAAACATCAAATAGCTATTAATCTAGTCTAGTTATTGGACATGATATTTTGAATATCTCAGTAGATCTGAATAAGCAAAATTTTTCTTTTTTTATATTGTTATCAAAAAGTAGACATGTACAAATATTTAAAAAAAAAGAATATGCTTGTAATTGTGTTTGTTTGTTTTTTTAATTTACTGTATATTCATGAAAGGACATTCAAACAATAAGTAATTTTTTTTTTCATTTACAAATACATACATGCTTGGTCGTGGCAAAGTAAAATTAATGTATGACGAGTCTACTCTTTTTATGAAATTCTTACTTGAAGCTTATGAGAGTGAAATTAGTGACTCTGAGTTTATGATAGACATGTGTGACCCGATAAGAAGGAGATACAATACAGGACTCGAAAATTTTGGAAAGGATTTTGATTGCAGATGCAGGGTGAGTTAGCACTTAGTTTGATAGTTTCTCTTTATATTTTTCTCTTTCCGTCTTCCTCTCCCCTCTTTTCTGCTTATTAAAAATACACTGCACTATCCTTGATTAAGCTCAATCTCTAAGATTTATAGCTCCAAATTTTATAAGGAAGTATTATGTATATTTTTTTTTACTTTATTAATTTTTTTAACACTGATATACTTCATTTTTAAATAACATTTGTATTTTTGTTTTCATTTTGCTCATTTTTTTTCTTTTTGCTGAGCCCATGTTAGAAAAGGAAAACAATTCTTAATGAGGTATCAAAGATTGGACCAAAAACAGGAAACTGGAAATAAACCTAATCGATTCCTTTTCGAAAGTAAACAATGATCCATATGCTTTTTCTGTGTATACAGTGTGTTTAATGTTTATCACATGTTTTTGCCAAATACTTTACCTGTAGTAATTTTTCAATCAATTATTTAAAAAAAAAAAACTTCACATAAAGCCACAATAATTTGTGAATTGGACATGAAGAAAAGAAAGAGTGAAGAAATAGCATTACACACTGTTTTAACGTTCAAGAAATACATTTAATATCTTTTACGTCCTTTATTATGTGCTGTTTATGAATTTTGGAACATTTTCTGCGTGGAATTTCTCCTACAGCTGTATCAACTGGTTTATCTTAAATATAAATATCCAAAAAGTTTTGATTTAGTGTTTTTTTTTTTATTTTTAAAGGAAGCAACAGGGTATATGGATTCGGACTATGACCAGAGGCAGTTATGTTCCATGTTTATTTCCTGTTTTAATAAAACTGTGAGGAAATGTACCGTAAATAAAGATGGAAGATGCGAATGGCAATGTTTGTCAAAGGGAGTTCGATCATCGGCTAATCACCAAGGGAAAATATTGTATTCTTTTCTCACATTTATGTTTCTCTTACTATATTACATACCTCTGCAACGAATATTCCTATTTAGTTGATCAGTTCTGGTTTTTAAGAAATGTTAGCATTCTTTGGAATAAATTTTCCTGACTTTTTGAAAGCAACTCATTCGAATTTACTGACATGATTGTGCGTTTTATATGAAACGAAAACATTAAGGGACGAAATTATTCTTTTTTTATAAGTATTTCAAAACAATAAAATGACGGTTACCTTAGATCCACATCGCCACCGCACAAGACATTTTAAGGGCCTAGACTGTGACGTCACATGACATCGTATATATATTTGTTGAATTCCCATAATGAAGTTTTAAAAATCAAATATACAATAAAAGCTTCTAATCTACTATCATTTTGCAATTTCCATTAAAGTTACTTTTGAATTTTTTTAAACTTTTCTTTGGTCACTAGATCACGAGTATGTGAGCTAAAGAGCAGTTCCACAGTCAGAGAAAAACAGTATTTTTGCGATGAATTGAGGGTACAGAAGTCTGCTGTGGGAGAAAATGGATCAATGTGCAGAGATCCGAATTTTCTCTTCGACCAAACGTTGTTTTTACAGCTGCCAGTCGAGCGGTGCTTCGCACCTTTCGCTATGTGTCTTTCACGAATAGAGTTTTTAAGAACAGGACTGGCAAGAAATTTGAAAGAAAACTATGTTCACATTGCTGTCTTACGTTTATGATTTTTTAGATGAAATGAGAAAATTACGAACTGTAATCATTCACAAGAGTCTAGTATAGATATACAAATTTTGAACCAAACCAACAAGGACCTCTGAAAACAGAGCTGGAATCAGGTGCCATGAAAGAATAAGCATCCTGTTTGTCGACCGGTCACAACCGCGATGTGTTCCTTGTCATAATCAGATGAACGAAAAAAATCCGTAGACAAATCATGGTGAAAATAATGGCTTAACAAGTTGTGTGAAAGGCGTCAGTTAACATTTCATTTAACGACAGATTGTATTTGCTAAAAAGGTCATTGTATCGACCATGGAATTTGCAAAGTGTTGACTTAAACAAGACTGTTGATATCCTTGTATTATCAACTTACTTGTTAATAGCTTGTGTCGTTTTAGAAATTGTTCGTAGGTAGAACATTTTGTGTATCGAAACAAATGGGAGAAAAAAACATATTCAGGTGACCATAACGTTTATTATGAAGTTTATTTGTCACTTTGTCATCAAAATCTTTCTCTAGTAAAACATCCAAATATGAAACAGACAAGCCGGACTCTGAGGTAGCTGTTATTTCCAGTTCAAAATGATATGGAATGAAAAATAATATCGTTAATTGATAAAATGTCGTCGATAAATGTCGAATGGAAGACCACAACAGGAGACTTCATTGTTTCATGTAGTATTTTAAATAAATTCTAGTTCATATAAGTAAAACAGATCTGCTTATAGCTGGGAACAATTAGTACCCATGGGACTTCCAACAGAATGTTCGAAGACGTAGTCTACGAAAAGTATATAGATATTGTCAATTAAAAACTCAAGCATCTATTTTGTTAATATCATCCTTGGAGTACCTGTGTTTAGAATCAGATTTTGTTTTTTTACAAAATGTTTGCTGAAACCAATGACAATGTATGCAGATTTATGAGTTCCATTTTTATTGAAGAGCAGTACTAGTTGTCTGTGATGTCAGATAATTGTGGTAGATTTTGTTGCAATTAACATTGTAGTTGTATGATAATTAGAATGTACGATATTTAGCAGAAATTGATTTTACAACAAGATAGCATAGATTTGATTTAGCGCTTTCTAAACTTGCTAGATATAAATATATACATACAAGATATTTAGCGACGTACTTGATTCAGCATATCAGAATGACAAGAAAATTGCAACCACTTCAACAGTCATAATTTCCGCCCATGAAAGTATATAGTGTTCTCTCTCTCTCTCTCCGTTAAAGGTTTTAAACCTATTCGCGTCTCTCCAATAAAAAAGAATCAGATATGTAAATATATTTAACATTTTCTGAAATTAAGACAATCATGTTCATCCGCACATGCCATCATTTGATCTTTCAGTGCATTAGGTTAGTTGATATGTTTATTTAGACATTTTTGATTATGGATATACGCAAAGAAGTTTTTATTTTTTTTTTACTTATTCCCCATATAAAATAAGAGTTTTAATAATTGGAGGACCTATACATGTACATGCATGTGATCCTTGTATAATGCCTAATGATGCAGTACACCTTTTCTAAATCAAATTTACATGTAGATTATAAGCTAAAAATGCATCTCTTAATTTTTTCTTAGAACAACACAAAAATTTTCACCATTTGATATCTTCTCAAAACCCCAGGTAATGGATGCTGATTTTTTTGTCGCAGAACATCTGATGGAAGTATGATTGTAAATCAAGAATATCTTGAAAATTATCAATGGGTACATTCTAACTTAAATGTACAGGTGCATTGCGCATGACCGTATTCCATATAGAAGTGTATAATTGACATTTTTAAATCAGTTATTATAGTGCACACCATTCACTATCGGAGCTGTAAAAAGGAAAAATATAAACATCATGATCAAGGTATAAAATATTAATATCTTAATTATAAAATGTTAATATACAATATCGTTTTCATTTTAAAATATTATCTGTCTTAATTATAAAGATGTATTTTCTGAAAGGTTGATGAAAAGTTTTAATTTATTCTAATTCAAAAATCTTGAAGATAAGTTTTCCTTCCATAGATCAGATAATTACACCATACTTCCGTCCACAGATCAGATAATTACATCATATTTCCGTCCATAGATTGGATAATTACATCATAAAATTTTCAACTCTAAATATCTATATCCTGACGGTATGTATCCCAGTACGGGTGGTCTGAAGTCAATCCTGCACAATAATTACTCAAATTTTAAAAAATGATAGGTTTACGACGTCCATTTTCTATGTTCTATCTACGTACAATGACGATCCTTCTGGTATACTGTTGTTATATTGTTCCTCCGTTCGTTTACTCCATTTATGCATCACAATTTGTCACAAGAACTCCTTCTATATTATGACCGATAACTAAACTCTTTTTTTTGAGGGGGGGGGGGGAGGGTTCAATGTTAGCATTTTAATGTTTATGCCATATTACTTCTGAATCATTTTATAGGGTGTTTTGCATTTTTTGGAGAAAATGTAAAAATTGATTTGCAAACAAGATGCATTAAACTTTAAATTTGCTGTCAATAAATACATGATATTAATATGTAATAGAAAATGTCAAGAACACGCTATTTGTGAATTTTTTTTTAAAAAACTTCCGATAAAATCATTAAAAAAAAAAGTCACAGCAAAGAAGGATGTTTGATTGCATTATATTTTTAAAAGAAATTGAAATGAAATTGCGAAATTTTTGGGAAGTTAATAATTTTGAAACTTGGACCAATCCCGATTGAATTTTCTTGACATTGACTTTTCTTGATATTTTTTATTCGATATTCATATTATGCATTTATTAACAGCAAATTTTAAACTATAAAGCATCTTGTTTGCAAGTAAAACAATTTTTACATTTTCTCTGAAGAAATGCACAAAAATTCCTATAATTCCCATTCCGGTCTTCCATTGCTGAAACCATATTTTTAAAAGGACGTCTTAATTATTCATTAAATAAAAATTCGGTATAGCATTCCTCCTTAAACAGGAAATAATTTGGCAATACTATACTAGTAGATCACAAATATTTCTGAATAAATGTTCTTAGATATACATGCATAACTTTTGATTCCGCTCTTCTTGAATTTGATAATCTTCACACAAAGATCCTTTTTTATCTTTCCATTAAGTCGATTCTTGATCAGAAAATTCTGGCATTGAGATTTGGAAATTGTCGTAGTCACTCAATGTCCGATGCAGTGGTTCAGGCTTTTCAATTTTCTTTTCCTCAAAATTCACATCAGAAACATTTTCACGATTCAAACGACGAATAGGTCGCCATTTTCCTTTTCGCACTTGTATATTGGTCATATTAGGCGATGAAGAAATACACTCTTCATTATCAATATTAATATCTATTATGTCTTTAAGAACATCCAACGCTTTTGTTTCATTCGTACTTGTGAATGTGGATCTTTCGATATTCTTGTCCGAGTATGTCCCAAATTCAGGCCTGGAATCACCTTTCTCCGGGATCAGTTTTTCCTGACTTCTTGTGAGATTCTCGTTAGTTATTACTGACTGATCATCCTGCATTTTATCTGAACCTGAAACATCGGAGTGCGATGTTCGTCTTTTCTGTAAACAAATTTAAAATAAAAGAATATACTTGTAAAATCTTTGAGAACACTTATATTAATATCATGTTGTAAATTTTGAATTTACTAGGGGGAGGTAAATGCAAAATTTACAACATGATAACTTGTAAATTTTGCATTCTACCTCCCCCTAGTAAATTCAAAATTTACAACATGATATTAAGTTAAGAAGTAAAGTGAGTAGTGTTTACACTTCAGGCTTACCGTTTGTGATTTTTTGCAGTAATATATTGCTGCAATTGTAATTATCAAAATGACACCAAAAATTGCTACAACTGCAACAATAATAATTTCCGTCCTGGTAAGTCCCGTTGATTCGTCAACTTGTGACTTTCCGAGATTCCCCTCGAAATCAGTGGTCGATGATGTTGGTAAGGTTGTTATCTCTATCAAAGCAAAGGAAAAAGGTCCAAATTATTAGTAATTTAATTTCATGTGCAATTGCAACTTTTATCATGTCTAATCGAAGACTTCTCACCAATACAGTCTGTGCCTCTATCTACTACTGACTTGTTTCCGTTACACGTGTCACAAGAAAGTTGACCCGGAAGAGATTGATATGTACCAACTGGACATGCTTTACATTTCGATGATTCCATATACCTTCCAGGTGGACAAGGCACTACACATAGAAAGGAGCATAAACAAAATAGTCTAAGATTTCTGAATGAAGGAAATTTTATCTGCTTTACAATACTCCTTTTATATTTCTGGCGTTACAGGCTTCAGAAAAAAGCAGAATCGTTTCATTGACGTATGTTGTGCAATTGACAGAAATGGCTTTATTCAAAAACACAAACTCGATAAAATGATGTTTACAAATCTTATCAAATACGTACCACAATATATATTATCCAAGTGTTTGACAAGGTATGTACTGTTATCACATCTATATGTTGAGTTTCCTATTCTCGCTGATACTTTGGTGACATTTGATGGTCCAAGCGTACACGTAAGTGAAGAGAATGGATGAAGAAGTGTAGGGATGGTCTTATATAAAATCTCTATAGTATTAAGGCACACCTGTCGCACATTGTCCGGCTCGTTCCCCGAGAATTCCACCGAAAGAACATTAGTGAGCTAAAAACAAGATGTAATAGACGATCATAATAGTTCACTCATTAAATATTGATAACTTTTAAAAAGAAATCTCCAAGATAAACGTCTGATTCATCAATTCGAGAAAAAGTGCCTTTATCGTTCCTCTTTAAATATATAAAATAGGACAATACATTAAACAAAGAAATCAAGAAGGGGGGAAAAGCAAGTAAACTAATTAAGAAGAAAAAAAATGCAAATTTAGTGCTCCATTAAAAATATCATTATTTGTAGCAAAATATATTGCACTTCGTGAACATGATTTTATTACAATTTACCTGAAAGGCAAGAGACGATGAGGTGATGTTGTTTATTTGGATATCGTCACGTTTAATATTCAATACTTCACATTTATCAGCGATCGAATTTTGAAACTGTTCTTTGTTCTGATTTGACGTATTACGAAATACGTCAAGACACGTGGAAGCTACCTGATCCTCGGCCTCGTATACTAAGTGAAGCTGAGCTGTCCTTATTGGCTGATGATATCCTACATTCAAAAGAGGGTATATAATTTCATAAAAATAGATTTTCGGAGCATATATTTATAAAATTGCAATCTGTTCAAAAGAAACGTGAAATCATTCATAAAATACTAGTATACTATATACCGCCCATTGAAAGGTTATCTGAACATCATACTAAACAATTATGAGTTCTATATGTATATATCGTCACGGTTTGATGTAAGTAAAATAGAATCAAATTCTAAATATAGAAAAAAAATACAGAAATCAAGTTAATGTAAACGTGATACCGACGCTATTTCTCCTACAATTGTCTGATTTTTTTTCTCGCAAAAAGATATTCTATGATCAACATTAAAGAATTACAATTATTTACATAGCAAACGATATATATGTACAGGTTAATAGTATTATGGCCATAGAAATATTATCACTAAAATTGTAAATTAATCTTACTTAAGCATAGTTCTCTGCTTGGTGCCCACGATTCACCCACACATTTATACTCCCGAGACGATCTTCCATCACTTGTAACAAACCCTGTATTACAAGTTACGTTACAGGTATGGTTCTGTCCAGAGCATGCAAGAGTTGCATTTTGAATTGCCAAAGAAAGTTGGTGAACGCCACACGGAATTACATAGGCTAAAATAGTAAGCATGATCAAAATTCATATGCATGCATTTCAGATGAGAATATCATTGTTGAAGAAAAGGATCAAATAGTGGGTCCCCTTTTAACATTTACTTTACCTTCCGTTGTTCTTAATGCCGTCGAGGTCGTCTGAGAAGTGAAAGTTGTTGTGGGTGACAGCACAGTCGACGTTTCGTCTTCTGTCCTTGAAATATTTTGTTGTGTAGTTCCTCCATTGTCGTATGTTGTCGTCATTCTTTCCTCTGTCGTGGTCATTGTGACTGTGGTCAATGTTTGTATAGGTGATGTGGATATCTTATCAGTTTTGTTTATTGATAACGTTACTTCCGTTAATGAAGTCACTTCAGTTGTCACTACAGAGCTGGTAATAGATGTAGTTTCGGGCGAAATGTTAAGAGTAGTCATTCCTATGGATGAAATATTGGATCAACATAACAAAGTCGTAGAAATCTATCTATTATAAAACTGACCGCCAAAATTAATATTTGAGTCTTTCTTTTACAACCCTAAACAATGAAACACACACCTTGACAATTTGTGCGCTCATAGTTGACATATGTCCAATCAGAGCAGTTATAACAGAATGTTTGACCAGTTTGTGGTTGATAAGTACCATTTGGACACGGCAAGCAAATCATCTTATCCAAAAATGTACCAGGTGAACATGGAACTATAAAACAAATTGTTTTATCAAATTGTATAGTAAAACTAAAAACTAAAAAAAACTATAATTATAATGTGCATATATTCTAGCTTTCACGAATTGATTGCAAGTTGTAATTCATTCATAATACACGCGTTTTCATTTGTATTAACATTTCATAACAAATGTTTTTCTGCAATGTGGGAATTTCTGTTTTTTCTTCAAAATTTAACTGTATAATTTTTGTTAAACAAATACATTTGATTTTGAAATTACCTCTAACTACAATAGATATAAAAAAACAAGAAGAAAAAAATCTTAATTTTATTTACCACAGTAAGAAGTGTCGGTGGAATTAATCATCTGTCGACCTTCTGGACAGTCAACTCTACTGTTGATGCTTTGTATTGTGTGTTTTGTGATATTAGTCTGACCTCCAGTACACTTAAGCGGTGAATAAGGATGTAAATACGATTCAGTGTTTTTAAAAGCGATCGAAACAAACTTTACACATAGGTTAATTTTATCCACTGGCCATGAGCCGTAGAACCTCAGGTGAAAAACGGATGTTACCTGGTGAGGATTAATACACAACTTTAATTTTAAACAAAATAAAAACATATATAATGAAAATTTTTGAAAGCTGAGAAAGAAGTGACTTATCTCTAATATAACGATGTCAGGTTTTTCTTTTTTTAAAAAAGTCTTCATTAAGCAAAATTCTTAATGTTTCTATTAATGGCATTTCACGTTTTTTAAATATTTAAACAGAGTAGCCAGAATTTCAATTGAAATACACAGTTTAATATGCCATTATATATTTTAGGAATGACTCTAATTCTTGGCCAAATTACTCGAGTATAACCTGGTTTGGGTCAGTTTACGCTTTATAATCCGCGAAGCGGATTATAAAACAGCGTAAACTGACCCAAACCAGGTTATACTCGAATAATTTGGCCAAGAATTAGAGTCATTCCTTATAATTTAATTTTAAAATCATTAAATAACTAGGGGTTTAAAATTTCGTTGCTTTTCATTAGTTCAAATTTGCAGCTCAATAATACAACCGTAGTTACGGAAGTGATGGGAAGCGAGGGAAGGTAAAAACTGAGGCCTGTTCAACAGAGCGAACGTTCGCGAGCGCTCGCCTAAATTCCTTATTTTTCCAACAGAAATGTTCGCTCGCGCTCGCGAAAGTTCGCTCTGTTGAACAGGCCTCTGATACATAGGCCTAGCAGCCATGTTGTTTGTTTGCATGTGGTAAGATCGAATTGTTGTTTGAAGTTAAAGGTACATTTATTAAATCTGGAATTTTCCATGAATCCCGAGGACTGGAAATGAGAGGATTGTATGGATACAGATGATTCAGCTGGTTGTCGGGGGGGGGGGGGGGGTCCCCATACCAAACCAGGTTATACAGAAATAATTTGTGTTCCTTTTTGGATATTAACCAATCAGAGGCTAGAATACAAACGAAATTAAATTATTCAGTAATATCATTATTCAACGCCTTAATAATAATAAACTTTGTTTTATTCATTATGTGTAAAAAAGATTTGTTTAATCGTACCTGGAATGCTTTGGTTGTACTGGTTATGTTTTCAATTACTACTCCGCCGGTTGAGTGCAAATTACACGAAGACGAAATGGTGGTATTAAATGAAACTGTATTTTCATAGGTTACAGACCGGAAGTCACTCAGACAGTAACTTGCAGGAAGTTCTTCCGTCTCATATACAATTTCTAGATCCATCCAGTACGTTGAAAATTCATATTCTTCAGAAGAAAATATATTCCTATTAGTATTCAATTCTCTGGAAAAACAGACATATATTACACGCAAATATGCCCTAGAAGATATTCTGACAAGTGTTGATAACCTTACTTATGCAGTTTTTACTTGGAGGATGCCATCCATTGCTGGTGCTGCAGTTAGATATTGTCGATTGTCCGCCATCATCCTGTATATAGCCAGATATACAAGAGGAAATACAAGTCTGAGTCTGCGCATCACATGAAAAAGTAGCGTTGGGGAGACTTTGTGAAAGAAAGGACAGCACACATGCAGAATCTGTAAATGATAAGCCATTGCTTAATTATTTCAGGATTTGAATAAAAACATGATCACACAAAGTTCAGAACAGTGGTCAACGAACCACTAACTACTAACCTTTGCATTCTCTTCTGTCTTCAGTAACATGTTTTCCGGTTGTACAGTTGTCACAGGTCAGCTGACCTGCTTCGCTCTGATACTGTCCAACCGGACATGCCTCACACTTGGTAACATTCAGATAATTGCCAGGAAAACAAGGCACTGAAAAATGATTTCTTTTATGAGATCTCATAAAAACTTTAAAGGAGATGTGCAAGTGAAAAAAAAAAAAAAACAAGTTTACACAAAACCATAGAAGATTACTTAGCATTTTCAGTATTTCATTTATACAATTTGTTAATCAGATGATAAAAAAATGTAACGATAAGTTATATTTCAGCTGGCTTGCTTTATTCTACCTTTGCATGTTCTTTTTATTTATTTTGTGCTTCATCATTAAAGAAGAAGCGGTAGTTGATGTCAAGTTGACCATTAAAAGTACTTGCTTGAGTCTCAAAACTCTACTTACAGCAATTATACTCCCCATTACTTTGCACTAATTGTGTCCCTGTAATCTCAGTGCAGCTGAACTGTAAGATTTGGCTCGCTGTTGTTGTCCTTTTTGTCACCCCACTGACCTCAGTTCCACAAGATATGGAGGAAAATGGTCTTAGGTAGGCCTGATTGGCGTCAGATGTGTGTTTGATGAGACTCATACAAAGTTCTCTGACGTACGCTGAACCAGACCCTGAGAACTTTATACTAAAAATACTAGTCACCTATCAAAGAAAATCAGTCTGATTTATTTCTATCTAAACTTGCAAATCTAAAATCTAAAATTATGTCTCTCTTGCAAACTTAACTGCAAGAAGGCTGCATCTATATATTCTCCCCTGTATTAAACCATAGTAATTTTAAGTATATACGCCCAATACCTGAAAAGCCAATGCGGAAAACTGAATGCTTTCTATTGATATATTTCCAGGTTCTATCTCTCCACACGTTGTCTGGAATGTGTTTTGGAAGTTACTGAGAGTCGACGTCATGGATACATTGAAGGAGTATAGGCACTCACTGGCCGGCCGGTCTTCTGTTTCGTACAATATAGTTAAGCTGGTCCACATCGCAGGAAGTGTAAAAGCTATCAAAAGTTGAAAAAAATATGATCATATAAATTCTCTTACGGAATGACGTAGGAATTATCGGAGGATTCGAGTAAACCTAGTTGTTTTTAATTGTCATTCCAAGCAGGAAATTTTTGTTGGAGTCTGGTAGAGGAGACGTAAATTTTTTATGACGTACATGTAATCAAAATGGCGTCTATTATAAAAAAAATCATGACTATGCATAAGTCAATAAAAATGTACAATTAATAACATTCTATAGATATAAGTTGTTTAAAATTATTGGATTTTATTCAAAGAACTGTTATAATTATTTTAATTTTCCGAAAATAACATAAGTTTTTATGACCTCACCAAAATCTTTTTTAAAATGAATTCTATTTATCGTCAAGCTTAGGAAAGGGAAGAAAGTGAAGATAGCGAACAGGGATCAATCTCAAAAATCCAGTAAGCAAAACGAATTGTGATTAGGGCAAAAACACGGACCCCTGGAAACACCAGAGGTGCCCAGGAGGAGAAAGCATCCTCTATCCAGCGGCCACACGCCCTATGTATTGATCAGGTAAACGGAGTATAAAAAGTTTAAAGACAATGACCTAACAAATGGTACAAAACATGTTAATGAAATATATTAATGAAATATATGGAGATAACGAACAGTTTTCAAGCTCAAAAGTCCATTAAACAATACAAAATAGGAGCAGAGCTAACACGGACCTCCAAAACATCATAGGTGGGATCAAGTGCCATGGAGGAGTGAGCATCTCCTGCCGACCGGTCACAACCGCCGTGTGCTCCTGCCATGATCGGGAAATAACGGAAAAATCTGTTGACAATTCAGTGTGTAAACAATGGCCTAACAGTTAGTATGAAAAACGTCAGTCAGCATTTGACTCAATCATAAATTGTATAACAAAATGAGACAACACGATAGGTTGTATTTACAAACAAGGTCATTATAGCGACCGTAGAATTTGCGAAAACTGTCTCTAAACAGGGTTGAAATCCTTATAACATCAATTTATTTGTCAGTAGCTTGCTATATTTTTGTTCTGTTTGATCATGAGAACGTCTTTGAGTTTCAGATATTTAATTTGGTTAATTTTGCCCATTTTGTCACGAGAACATCTTTAAGTTTCTTATTCATGTATTAGAGTATTAGATCTGTTTTTAAAACTTAAATAAATCGACAGGGGAATTTTTTTTTTTAGTAATAGTTATACTTAGAATTATCTAAACTTAAAATCAACCTATTATAGCTTTTCCCAATCGTTTGCTTTCTTCTTTATTGACGAAGAAAATCTTCCCATGTAAACATAGACAAACACACAATAAAATTTGTTTGGAGTGCTTACAATGTAACATTGATTTTAATTGCAGAAGCTCGACATAGAAGTTTAAAATTTTACTGCAAATTAAATATTCTAAAACATCATTTGCAATGAATCAATGAAATAGGCACCCCTAAAACAATCCATCATTTTCATGATTCTATGTCTTGTCAATCAAAGACTCTATTATAAAGATCCAGTTATTGTCCCTTTTATTTTATGAATAAAACAAGAAAATTTATCACGCGGCAGGGTGTAAGACTACAGAATGAATCAAAATGACTTACGCAGACAAAGTGCTCCACTAGGTAGCCATGACGTGCCATTACAAGAATGGTTTGTTGTTGTTGATCCATCTTCCAAGGAATATCCGGAATCACAAGTGGATAGACAAAACGTGGCATTTGGCGGGCAGTATAACGTCGAGTTCCTTACAGAATTTCCAAGTTTTTCGATATCACAGGAAAGCACTGCTGTTTGTTAAAAATATACCTTTACTTTAAATCTATTCATGCAAATAGTGCTAATACCCCAAGAAAATTTCAAGAAAACAGGGGTTTTCTTCTTTATTATACTCACCAAATGAAGTTGCAGTTGTCAAAAATAGAACAAAAACTACATATCTAAACATGCTGCACACCCGGAAGTAAATCAAAGGATCGGAATGCAACAAGAAAAAATAACAAACATGGTCCTGCCAAGCGACGCAGAATATTGATTGAACGAATGACAGTTATTTTAAAATCCTCGTCCCAGTAATTACTCTGACAGAGTGCAATAGAGCAGAACAATTCAATAGGAGCTCTGCAGCATAAAATTACACCCTTATCAAGTATCTAGTGTAAAGATTGATCATGGAACAATTTTTGTAAAAAGATTCCCAGCAGTCAGATCGGGTTAAAGGTGAAATATTGACACCTGAGTGGAATAAATGTGAAATAGATATAAGATATCTACAAGATTTCTAAGTCTTTCTAAGTAGTACCGAAAAAACCTTTATAGAATATTTTGCAATTTTCATTTTTTGTCACTAAAAAAGAAGAATATATATATATAGATTTGGCTGTTCCAGGGTACCAGCGTCATTACTTTATGCGTTTAGATAGTTTCAAAATATATAGATACCTTGACCCTCTATCTATGTTCGATCAGTTTTCCCTCAAACTTTCTGCTTTGAAACGATCTATCGAGAGTTCAACTAGTATATTGACAGTGGCAGATTCAAAGTCTACGGGGATTTAAAATTACGAAAATGGAAAGGGATCTTACACTATTAGTGATTTTCTGTTGCTTGAGTTCAATAAAGAAATTACGTAACAAACGTTTGGAAAAAAATCTAGATGCCACACTAGTGTCAATGTGACTAATATGAATATCAATCAATGTGACTAAGACAGTTTGGAAATATAAAACTTTAATTTCTAATGATTATTTCTTTCAAGAGAAAGCAAATTTTCTCTACTAAAAGTGGTGTAAATCAAAAGTGGTTTTTCAAAAACTCCCAAGAGCTTTGAGAAAATTAAAAATAACATTTTTTTTCAAAAATTAATAACATCAAAACGTATGACTTTTCTACACTTCATAAAACCATTCCTTTTTTTGGATAAATTCAAAACTATGCGATTTGATATTATAGACAACTGCTTCCTTAATAAAAATGAAACTAGGATATTTTCATATTTTTTGACTGGTCATCCACAAGATTACTTTGTTAAAAATATCTCTGATTCTACATACAAGTACTCGAAAGTCTATATTAAAAGGATGCTAGAGTTCCTCATTGTCAACATCTATGAAGTCTTTGGAGACCAGGTCTTCCAACAAACCGTTGGAATTCCGATGGACACTAATTCTGTTCCTTTATTTTCCGACCAGTTTTTATATTCCTAAAGCAAAACTGGTATAAAAAGCAGCTGTATAAAGCAGAATTTATGCTAATTTTTTACAAGAGAAGAAAACACTTGCTTGTGGCCTTCAACTCGACATTCAGAAATATCGATGAAGTTTTATCAAATTGCAATAGTTATTTCCATCTCGATATATTTCCCAACTCGATATATCCCAGTAAACTCGGAATAAAAGACATCACAGATCCCAACAAAAAAATACTAATAGTATAATAAACTATTGTTAACTAAAGTTTACTATGGTTAACTTGAGTTAACTATAGTTAATCAAAGTTTCAAATTTATCACTATAGTAAATCAAAGTAACATAGTTACCACTGTAGTGTCATAATGATCACTATACGTCAAAATTATCACTATAGTAAATCAAAGTGACATAGTAACCACTGTAGTGTCATAATGATCACTGTACGTCAAAATTATCACTATAGTAAATCAAAGTGACATAGTTACCAGTGTAGTGTCATAATGATCACTATACGTCAAAATTATCACTATAGTAAATCAAAGTGACATAGTTACCACTGTAGTGTCATAATGATCACTATACGTCAAAATTATCACTATAGTAAATCAAAGTGACATAGTTACCACTGTAGTGTCATCATGATCACTATACGTCAAAATTATCACTATAGTAAATCAAAGTGACATAGTTACCACTGTAGTGTCATAATGATCACTATACGTCAAAATTATCACTATAGTAAATCAAAGTGACATAGTTACCACTGTAGTGTCATAATGATCACTATACGTCAAAATTATCACTATAGTAAAACAAAGTTATCACTTCTGAAAATCAAAGTTTTAGAAGTGGTAAATGTAGTACTAGTAATTCAATGTTTAAAATTTATTACTTTAGTATAACATGTTCTGTGAATGAAGTCTCCTTCAATTTCACTACAAAGGTATTATTCAGTTTTGCAGATTTTCTGATTTTACCAAACATATCCGTTGATGTCCTGTTTATTTTCCAATAACTCCATGCACGTTGCAGGCAATACATTTGAGAAATTTATTATTTTTTGAAAGATGCAATTATATAACTGCAATGGTGTTTTCAAAGTAATCCCTATTATAGTAAATCAAAGTGTCAAAGTTATCATTATAGTTATTATTAGTTATCTACAGTATACTGTAGTTAACTACAGTTTAGTATAGTATTTTTTTGCTGTGGAGTCTGCCACATCTAGTTCATATTTAGATGTTTTACTGACTATAGACCCCCTCTCCTGGTAAAAAAAAAATAAAAAATCCTGAATGCCATCCGACTTTAATTTCATCAATTCGAATTTTTTACTTTCACATTTAAGGATTCATTTATTTACACTTAAGGATACAGTATTTGCAATCAAATCCATTTTTTGACAAATACGTTTTGAGTGATGTAAAAGAAAATCACTTTGTTTCAGATGTGTTCATACTCAGATTCCAGAACTCTGTTGATTGCCCTCGTCCTTTACACTTGTTGTTAACGTCCAATGCCTGTGGAAGATCCGGACCACGCCTCTCAGGACAAGCTTTAAGAGACTGTCAAAATAACTGCGCGCGCCTCCATTATAATAACAATAAAATCCGGAATTGTCAAATAGGGAGAAGTTTCAAAGGGGCTAAAATGTGTAAGAACCGTGCCATTCACAAATTTCATCGTTGTTACCGGAACGATTGCTAACGAGATCCTATTCAGCCCTTTGATTCTATTTTGTCCATCAAGACTTGACTTTGTGAAACCATGCGAGAGAACTTTTTCTCTTGTTTGAAATAAGAATATACTAACAGTAGAATGTGATAAAATTTATCATTAAGTGTGTGAATATTACTGTTGACGTGTCACTTCCTATTTTCAGAATTTGATAAAGATATGATGATAGTTAAATGGGTTTATTTTGTAATGATATTAATACCTTTACAAAATCCAGAAGACATTCTAGATAAAAAATTACACATGAATATAATTGGGCCACAATTGACAAGAAGCCACTGGAAGAAAAACTGATTTTGTTTGGGGGGCATCTAGAGGTTTTATTAAGTACCCTCTCTAACCCCCCCCCCCCAAAAAAAAAAAAAACCAACATGAAAAGCTAGAATTGTTTAGTAAGTACGTTAAGATGAGTTACATCATACTTGGATGACCAAGGCCTATGCACATCTGTTTTGGTGACATAAGTGGTATTACATTATATTTCATTTAAGGATATCCGATCCTCAGCCAGGAAGGACAACTCTCAAATTTATTATTTTATTTAAAAAGTCTCAAAATGAAGCTTGAAATTGAGATCTGTTCGTGCAACAATTTTCATTTTATGCATCTCAATATGATTCAAGGTTCTTTGATGTCTTAGAAACGGTCTTTTAAAAAGTTGACATTTGTACCTCATAAAAGAAAAAAAATAATAAATTCATTTTTGGAGAAATCGAATTTCCTTTAATCTAGCATTAGATATCAATGCTTATTAGAAGGATATGAAATTAGATGTGATATGTGATATCTAGCAATGACAGCACAAGCTTTCTACACTATGTATTCCATAAAAATTGAACGAAACAGAAGAAGTAAAATACTGTATAAACATAAATAAGATGCAATTTTCTCCAAATGCCTGGATACCTATATTTTTTTTATCCTAAAATATATGTGTTGATCAATTTTCAATTATAAGCGGGTGTTTTTATTCACATTTCCTGAAAATGTATTTGAGATTTGATAATTTTCCCCTATATAATATGATTAACTATAATGATGAACTTTGAAGAAATACCATGGGTAAATTCACGTTACTCTGTGAAATCAAAGACATTTTTGTGAGCATTTTCAATTACTTAAAAGCTGATTTTCAGAACCTGAGGATCGGACTGCGTTAAGGCGACTACATGGTCAACGAAATTACCATGCAACATGTCCACTTTATAATAATATGAAGATAATATGATTTTTGCTGTCATAAAATACAGTACTGTGAAAAGAAAAACACACATATGTAGCTATATAATTTTTAATGCAATTTCCTTCATTTTCATACACAGCTCGTCTTTCCCAGGAGGTTTAATTAAATTTCCAAATTTCAAAAACGGAACAAAGATTGTCAAAAATCACAACACATATCAGAGAAAAAAACCCAGGGTAGATGTCCTTCAACGTTATCAACAGAAACCGTTCTGAAAATAAAGAAAAAACCTTGTGTTTATAATTGTTAATATATTGAATTATTTTATTGAAAATGAAAATAAATATCTAGTTATGAAAAAGTCATAAGTACATGCACTTACATTTAAAATATTTGGTGTTTTCATCGTCCACTGTAATAGAATTAATTTTTTTTCAGACTGAGTTAAAAAAAACTAAACTCTTTACTAAATAGGAAACAATATTTCAATAAAGCAATTTTTAAAGAATGGCCAATTTTGATGAAAGTTGGCTAACAAGTCTGTAATGCATATTTACTCATATATGTATCCACAAATACGTCTCACAATTAATTTTTTTAAGTGAAAATGAAAAATTACGTACTGTAGTGTTATATTGAGTCCATGCGCAATTGGCATACGACTCTCAGTAAGGACTTTGTTAAATGTACCTACGCCTGGGATACTTCGCCGAATCCTGAAACCACAAGAAATCGCTGTACCAACCATATTTAGTATGCTTGAACAAGAGGCCCAGGGGCCACATCGCTCACCTGAGCACTATGGCTAGGAAAAAGCAGAGATCACTTCAGTCTTGAAAGGTTGAAAAGTTTAAATATAAAAGTGGTTGGGGGGGGGGGGGGGTCATGAATTGAACAAATTTGAATCTACATTATCTGAGGATGCTTCCATTTAAATATGACCAATCATGGCTTTGCTGTTCTTGAGTAGAAGATTTTTAAAGATTTAACATATGTATTCCTATGTAAAACTTTGATCACCCATTGTGGCCCCACCCGACCCAAAGGGGTCATGTTTTGAACAAACTTGAATGTACACTATCTAAGAATGCTTCCATATAAATATGACCAATCATGGCTTTGCTGTTCTTGAGAAGAAGATTTTTTAAAGATTTTTACTATGTGTTCCTATGTAAAGATTTGATCGCCCATTGTGGCCCCACCCGACCCCCGAGGGTCATGATTTGAACAAAATTGAATCTACACTACCTGAGGATGCTTCCATGTAAATATGACCAATCATGGCTTTGCTGTTCTTGAGAAGAAGATTTTTAAAGATTTTTCCTATATATTCCTATGTTAAACTTTGATCGCCCATTGTGGCCCACCCGACCCCCGGGGGGCATAATTGGAACAAATTTGAATCTACACCACCTGCAGATGCTTCCATATAAATTTGACCAATCATGGCTTTGCTGTTCTTGAGAAGAAGATTTTTAAAGATTTTTCCTATATATTCCTATGTAAAACTTTGATCGCCCATTGTGGCCCCACCCGACCCCCGGGGGTCATGATTTGAACAAAATTGAATCTACACTATCTGAGGATGCTACCATATAAATATGACCAATCATGGCTTTGCTGTTCTTGAGAAGAAGATTTTTAAAGATTTTTCCTATATATTCCTATGTTAAACTTTGATCGCCCATTGTGGCCCCACCCGTCAGTCTTGAAAGGTTGAAAAGTTTAAATATAAAAGTGGTTTGGTGGGGGGGGGGGGGTGTCATGAATTGAATAAATTTGAATCTACATCATCTGAGGATGCTTCCATATAAATATGACCAATCATGGCTTTGCTGTTCTTGAGAAGAAGATTTTTAAAGATTTTTCCTATATATTTCCTATGTAAAACTTTGATCGCCCATTGTGGGCCACCCGACCCCCGGGGGGCATAATTGGAACAAATTTGAATCTACACCACCTGCAGATGCTTCCATATAAATTTGACCAATCATGGCTTTGCTGTTCTTGAGAAGAAGATTTTTAAAGATTTATCCTGTATATTCCTATGTAAAACTTTGATCGCCCATTGTGGCCCCACCCGTCAGTCTTGAAAGGTTGAAAAGTTTAAATATAAAAGTGGTTTGGGGGGGGGGGGGTGTCATGAATTGAATAAATTTGAATCTACATCATCTGAGGATGCTTCCATATAAATATGACCAATCATGGCTTTGCTGTTCTTGAGAAGAAGATTTTTAAAGATTTTTCCTATATATTTCCTATGTAAAACTTTGATCGCCCATTGTGGCCCCACCCGACCCCCGAGGGTCATGATTTGAACAAACTTGAATCTACACTACCTGAGGATGCTTCCACATAAGTTTCATGTTTTCAAGCACAGTGGTTCTTGAGAAGAAGATTTTTTAATGATGCCATTAATTTTTCACGAATTCTTAATTATCTTCCCTTGGAAGAAGGTGTGGCCCTTCATTTTAACAAACTTGAATCCCCTTTACCCAAGGATACTTTGTGGCAAGTTTGGTTGAAATTGGCCCAGTGGTTCTGGAGAAGAAGTCGAAAATGTGAAAAGTTTACAGACGGACAGACAGACGGACAGACGGACTACAGACAAAATGTGATCAGAAAAGCTCACTTGAGCCTTCGGCTCAGGTGAGCTAAAAAGTTAATTATTGTTATATTCATAAAGCACGAATTTGATAAATTACATGTACGTTTAGAATTTTGAGTAAAAATGCCTTTAACAACTACCAAATCTTTGAGATAAATGATCTGCTGACAAGAAAACCTTACACAGAGTGTAAGAAAATGAGATATTGGTTTGGTGATAAGAAAACCCTAACGAGTGAAAGGAAGAGAATTTTTTTTGTTCTGCTTCGTTTGTTTGTTTGCACGTGTGCGTTTGTTGTTTTTATGTGTTTGTTAATTCTGCTTCGTTTGTTTGTTTGCACGATTATGTTTGTTTTTTTTTTTTGCTTGTTTTGCTTCATCTGTTTGTTTACACGTGTGCGTTTATTGTTTTTATGTGTTTGTTCTGCTTCATTTGATTGTTTACACGTGTGCGTTTGATGTTTTTTTTGTGTGTGTTTGTTCTGCTTCATTTGTTTGTTTACAAGTGTGTGTTTGTTGTTTTTATGTGTTTGTTATCTTATTTCTTTTCTTTATTTTTTCTTTTGTTTTCTTTTTGTTGTTTGTTTGCTAGGTTTTCCTTCCTTTTTTGTAGAAAAGACAATTATGAGTGAGCTGTATTATTTCATTATCATTTACCTCGTATGTTGCGGCAAGGCTGTTCCACGCTGTACAATCTGCTGACATGCCACAGACAAAACCATGCATAAGGAGAGTACAATAGCGATATTAGTAGTCATCACGAAAATCTAGGAAGATATGTTGAAGGAACAAATAAACAATGATTTCTTTTCTAAAACACACACATGTAGCAACCAAACCCTTTTAATTTTTTTATTAAAGCTTTATTTTAAGTTCTTGTCAATCCTATACTTAGGCTATTTTTACTAGAAATCTTATGACTAGAGTAAAAAAATAACAACGCTGGAATTTCCTTTTTTGAAATATGAAGATAACAAACACAAATCAAGCTCAAAAGTCGTAAGATTTTTTTTTGTGTGTGTGAAAAGGCCCACTCTATAATATATTTAAATTTCTTTGTAATATATTTCCTCGTTCATTTATTCACATAAAATACAAAGTGCACCCCAAGATACAAATCTCTCCCATATTATTTTTTATATTATTCAATTGTTCATATAACTTACAGACATTGATATGTCCATCTCTTATCTATTTGACATAGAATAATCAGCCAAGCCTTGATATTTATCGGTTCTTTGTAAATAATTTTTTATCTTCTTGCAAATTCTGTGTTTAAAAGTTGTAAGGTTTATTCAGTCGTAGAGATCAGATATTTGCTGTCTTCTTGACACACACGAAGGAGATAAGTTAATGCGGATACAATCGTTAATATGTCTAAATGTACTAAAATTTGAAATAATTAAAATAAATAGGCATTTAAGTCCGTTGTGTTATACCCTTCTGAATTACATGCCCTGTTCACAGATTTGTACTGTTTGTAGATTTTTTGAGATCGATCACCGTTGGCTATCTTTCCTTTTTCATTCAATAGGATTTTAAGTACTAGTGCCTGTTTCATATATGAATGCTCTTTTGGATTTTACGGATTTTCCCTTTACTTTCCGATCATGACAAGAGCACTCGGCTGATATGACCGGTCGGCAAGGGTTGCTCACTCCTCCATGGCACCTGATCGGACCTCTGATGTTTTTAGAGGTCCGTGTTTGCTCTGCTCCTAATTTGCATTGTTTAAATGGACTTGAATGAATACTGTTCGTTATCTCCATGTATTTCATTGGCAATCACCAAAAATTCAGAAGACCAACACACATTTACAAGAACGATAGAAATAAACATTTATTTAATTGAAAAAATCTTTTATTGCAAAGCCAAACAGTTCTTATACCTATTTCAAAAGTGACAAAAGTTTACTACTGCAAAAGAATTCGATCAGATATAAGCTATATCCTTTAAAGCAAGCATCAGTGATATGATACTTTTTGTTCAAAAACCAGGAAAATAAGAACTTTACTCATGTTTATAACATGAATACGTTTAACCGCATGAATTTTAATTTTTAATGCAAAATTTCACAATAATGTCCTAAACAATGATGCAAATTTTTATAGATTCATAAGTGTTATTGCAGAAAGGTAGAATTTTGAACATCATAGAAAGTTTACAATTCCAAAGAATGTATACCAATCCAGGCATCCATTTTTTTTTTTTTTTTTTTTTTTGCATCATCTGTCCTTAATTCGACAGAAAAATTTAGAAAATATTTTTCTTACCTTAATCTTTTTGTAACGATTGGTGTATGGAAAAATTTCTTGTGAGGAATGGAACAGACCCGGGGTATTTATAAGGACAAACTACATCCACCCCACATCCTTTCTCGGCAGGGACATTTCAATATCAAACAGTTCATATCAAGGATTAGCCTGATATAACTGACATTTATAGTCAATACAGTATAAGTGATGTTAGTGTTTTGACAAGAAAAATGAGATATTAACAGCTTCTTCTTTTTTAATTTTTGTTCTTTTATTCCCTTTATTCAAGACCTGACCTTGAAATTTCTACCATTCATTCACATAACAGCATTGGGATGTCCTGTAAAGAATTTAATATCAATAAAAATTTCTATAGAGTTCAACATTTCTGAATGAAAAAGGCCGTATCTCTAAATTGCTTCACTGCCAATTTCATTCATAATATCTTTACTATTTTTTAACATTATTGCATTTCTTAATATAATACAATAAATAAATAATGCTGGATGAATACTAACATTTTAATCTAACGACTTTTTCTAAAAATTACCTAAGAACAAAGTTTTGATGAAATTAGACAGGAGTGGTAGATGTAAAGCCCAGCTTTGAAATGAGAACTTCTCATCACCATTTCAGTAGGAACACCTTTTCTGCTTTCAGCATCTTTTAACTGTCTTAATTTTTAGCTCTACTGGTCAGAGACCAGAAGAGCTTATGCGATAGTAAGGTGTCCGTCGTCCGTCCGTCTGACTGTCTGTCTGTGTGTCTGTAAACAATTTTTCAAAACGCTACTCCTCCTACAGTTTTGGTCTGATTTCAATATAACTTGGCACACAAGTAGACTACACTAAGATGCATAATTCAGTGCATCGGTTTTTGATTTCGATGAACGGTGTTGCCATGGTTACTAAAAATAGAAATTTCTGTGAAATTCCTTTAAAACGCTACTCCTCCTACAGTTTTGGTCTGATTTCAATATAACTTGGCACACAAGTAGACTACACTAAGATACATAATTTAGTGCATCGGTTTTTGATTTCGATGAACGGTGTTGCCATGGTTACTAAAAATATAAATTTTTGTGAAATTCCTTTAAAACGTTACTCCTCCTACAGTTTTGGTCTGATTACAGTCTAATTTGGCACACAATAAGAATACACTAAGATACATAATATGTTTTTCGGTTTTTGATTTCAGTGAATGGTGTTGTCATGATTACTAAAAATAGAAATTTCTGTGAAATACTTTCAAAATGCTACTCCTCCTACAGTTTTCGTTTGATTTCAATTTAATTTGGCACAGAAGTAGACTACATTAAGATACATAATTCTATTTATTGTTTCTTGTTGCAAAGTTTCAAATCTAAGTGCTACTTTTCCTTTGTTATACGTACAGACCAGTAGAGCTACAGTCTCATCAGAGACTTCTGGTTAACAATTGTAACGTGTATGATCGGGTTCTTACAAAGGATATACATGTATATGTTTATCACTATTCTATCTGATTTAATGATAGGATTGATTATTATACTATTTTTTTCTCTTACTGTAGATTCCTCTTTTTTTTTTTGCGAGTACCAGTTCTTTTAAATATAGCGAAATGGCTCTTTGACGTCAAATCGCGAGAACAATATTTTGCGAATGGACGATTGATCAAGAGATTTTATACAGATTTAGGCAATCATAAAAATTAAAGCGAGACATTTTATTTGACAAGAGGTGCTTTCGCAAAATTACACAATAATTAATTCTTCGCTTATAATAAGGAATCTCAGGGTTCTCCACAAGGGGTTTTACCATGGCGGCCCGCCATGGTTAAATTTATGTGCGCCATGGTTAAACGAGCTGCGCCATGGTTAAAATCGACGGCCGCCCTGGTTAATTTTTTATTGCATTTTAGTATTTACACCTACTTTTTAATGACTTGAGTAGTTAATTGTGTTTATACTACGACTGATATGCATCTCGCATGCCTCGAAGGAAAGCGGACTGTGCTAAACAAACACAGTCGCTGATCGGCGACTATGCTGTGAAGCGTGACAATGGAGGGTCAATCAGCTAAAGATCAATATCTTGAGAATTAATTAGTCAGCCCACTATCCTGTAACTATACAAACATGTAATTTCGGGAAATTCCATCGTGTTCACTATATGGTAACAGATCATAACGAGCAGTAGGTACCTATAACTTCATTTTCTTTCTGATAAAATGTACCGTACGTAAGTGCCAATCGTCGTCTTAGTTTTAAAGTTACCTCCCGTTTTTATGAAACTTCGCGTGGCGCTATTTTTAGCACGGACACGTGGAGGAATAAACAATGGAGAAACTCAGCGAAAATGCAATATGTAGAAAAAAATAACGTTTAGAAAAAGACAGAAGAGAAAGCAAAATTACAGTAATGCAAATTAATGCCCCTGGTTATAATAAGTTACTTCTACCATGTATGCCACCAGTAAGTTTTCATAGATCATGCAGTTAAAAAAAGCTTAGGCATTAGTAGGATTTCGGCTTTCGTTTGTTTGTGTGTCTGTTAACTTTTTTTTTTTTAAGGTACTACCAATTCATCAGTTTTAGTCATATTTAAATAAAACGTTTTATATAAAGGCAACATCAATTCTGTATATCAGTTTTTGAAAACTGTTGCCATGGTTACTCTATTAAAATATTATTTTTAAATTCCTTCAAAATGTTCCTACAGTTTTGGACCAATTTTGGTACATTTGTAGAGTAATTACATTTAAGATACATAATCCTTTTTATTTTTAATTTTTAAGCTTAAAAAATCATTGGTTATTTCAACTTTTTGTGCTGCAGTGGTTAAGTTTTGTGAATTAATCAATCATTGATTAATGAAGGTTAGGAAGTCTAACATGCATTCATGTTTTTGGTCGCATTGTGCCTTTGCGCAGCTTCCTCCATGGTTAAATTTTCAAATGTGGAGAACCCTGAATCTACAGTATCTGGAAGCGGGGATTGGGTAATGCACTACTTGCACCGTATTTCTCCCCTACGTTCCTATTGATAGAGAAGAACCGGATGTTTCAATCTGTTTCAGGTTCAAAATTCACAATAATCTAGCTAGCTCCTGATTACTAAGAATGGTTAGAAATTTCAAATTATCATACTCGTAATTCATGAAATTATTCTTTACCAAAATGTAGACTTGGATTACTCAACAGTCATTTGTCTCCGATATCATTCACAAATGGAATTCACTGAGTAACGAAACAAGGGAAAAACTTCAATAGGAGTCTTCAAGGGGTATGGATACGATTTTGGTCAAATTTTATTTTTCCACTTTTATTGTTTATAAGGCTTTACTTAAGTATTTTTAATGGCCAGCCAAAATTTTAATGTGAGGTGTCGAGTCATAAGCAAGATACAGAGCTCACAATTCTTTGTTATGTAAACAAAGTTCGTGCCATGTTTTGTGTACATTGGTTCAATATACCGGTGAAAGTTCTTTTTCAAGCAGATTTTTTTTTATTATCTGCAAGTTCGTTTTGAA